CCCCCCTACCCCCTCGATACCTGGCAGAAACTATTTTGCCCTTATCTCTAATTTTGTTGAAGAGAGAGTATAAGCCATAATAGGAAGGGACAAGGGTTTTTGCTGGTTGAGATAAGGATAGCTATACAGGGAGTTGACTCACATTGATTTCCTGTGCATGTGTGTTACCTTCTAGGTTAATTCTTTTTGATCTAACCTTTTCTCTAGTACCTGTTCCCCTTTTCCTATTGGCCTCAGTTGCTTTTAAGGTATCTGCTTTAGTTTCTCTGCGTTGAGGGCAACAAATGCTAGCTAATTTTTTAGGTGTCTTACCTATCCTCATACCTCCCAAGTGTGCTCTTGCTTTTAAAAAGATTGGGTTTTTAATATCTCCAAAAGAGGTTGTCACTTTATTCAGACTCATTTGATGTTGAATTTGGCTGTTCCTGGTTAGAATTACAGAACTTGGCTTGTTAATATTTGGAGAAAACCCCAAGAAAAGAACCTGTTTTTCTCAAGATACTCAATATTTTTGCTTTGTTTATAATACTCATGCCCTACTCTTCTGACAGATAATTGGTCATTTTGAATCAAACCAACATAAGCTTCCCCCAGGTCAGAAATAGTTCTATCTTCAGCACTGCTGTGGAAAGGAAGACCTTTGGGCCCAAGAGCCTAGAGGCACGGAGGGAGTCACGTTCAGCTGAACAAATAAATGCTACAGAAACCTTGGGCCAAAATAGAATCTCTTGTGATGAGGTTTTTCTGTGATCTCCAAGAGTCCTTAACCTTCTCCATCTATAAGATAATCAGGGTCCTGTAGCCCCTAACTTCAGGTTTGGGGACATAATAAAGACTGCCTGGCAGAATAGAAAAGTATCACATGAATGTTTAGAATGAAATTTTTAGTGAAACACTTCAGATATTGCAAAGCTAGCTTGTATTTCTCTCTAGAGACTAATTTTATCAATATAAAATTAGACTTTTGCTTTCCATGCTGGTAATGTTCCTCAAGTTGGATGTGCTTGGGTTTCTTGAGTTGAATGAATCCCAGATGGCCTCCATCTCAGATAATCTGAAACAAGGTCCTATTTAGTTTCTCCTGGGTTTCCTTTCACTAAGGTAAGGGACAGAGGCTGCCTGGGTAATGCAAACCTATGCAAACAAAGTTACCAAATGGTGTAGTTGCTAGAATGGAAGACACTTCCCTGGTTCCCATTCTGATGTAGTGTCCTGAATTTACTCCTTCCCTGTGAGTGTTCTACACTACCCTGTTGCCACCCCTTTGCCATGTGGATATATGTTTACCACAGGTCTGTAATGTGTCCTCCCTAAGAAGACAAAACAAACAGATGCACATGAAGCTATCTTATGCAGTAAAAATGTGAGATCTGAACATTGCTTCACAAGTATTGTATAAATAACAAATCTGTAAACACATTTCTTATGTAAACATAAGGGGAATAAAGACTTTTATCTGTTCAAATGAGACATGATGTGTAGAGATGTAAATAACAAAATAGCTGCTATTTTCCTGAGCTGAAAATCCACTTTTGCAGAAAGAATTTAAACATACTGTTGAGTGGCAGTAAGTACCAGTGCATAAGAAAAATGTGGGCACATGTGAGAGACACACTGAGAATATTTTAATGAGTCATGGCCACTCTAGAGAATAAAATCTCTGTGAGCCTACATTTGTTAGGGCCAGACCCGAGGTTGTTAAATGGGGCACAGATTTGCACCTGCCCTCCTCTAATGTAATCTTTAATAAACTCAGGTCAGTTTAATTAAATATTTTAGGTTGGCAAGAACAATTTTATGCCCAGTGAGAATTTGCTGTCATTTAATTGCCTCATGGGCCTGAGAAGCACAGCATCACTAGCCAGCGCTGGCCCCCATCCAGTTGTGGAGTTTAGTGCAGCTACCCAACATATGATAGAACCAAATGTTTAAGTTAATGATTGAAGCCAAAAGGACATGGAATTTATTAGTGTTTGTGGTGTGGAGAAAAGTAAAATTCTGATATGTTACAGTGAGGAATATCCAGCCTGGAATTTTAGCCTTCAGATTCTGATTCTTTAGCGAGGACTCTGATGATACTCACTGTGTCAGGCAGATGACATTTCTAGGCTCAACCCACCCAACCGCTATCATCAAGCACTTTCAGTTACTTTGGAAGTCAATAGGGAGTAGTGAGGATTGTTGCCAAGTCATCAGGTACCTTTGGAAACTACTCTGCTACTACCTGAGGCACACAAGATCTTACTGAAATCTACATAACTTGGAGTTTCAAAATAGACCAATATGGAATTACCCCTAGAGGAAGTTTCAATAAGTGTGCATTAGCCTGGCAAGCAGTGCTGCATCAGAGTAAGAGAAAGAAGTATGTTTTGACTTGTGGCTTAAATTGATGTGCTAAATCAAAATCAAAAGAAACATGACCCAGTTTAAGAGAATTACAACAAAGTGCTTGCCGTAGGATCCATGATGAGTAACTGTGAGTCCAGTCCCTGGGTTTAAGCCCAGGTAGCTTTATTGGGCTCATGTACACAGGATATCTGCTTTTGAGGTATATTGATACTGAAAGAGAGATGAGAAATAGCTGCAGTCCTTTTAAAGAACAGGAGACTAGTTTTCCCTTCAGACTTGACATTATGGTGTTTTGTGACTATGAACTTTTAAACATTGTTGGTTTTTGAATATGGTTTATCCCATTACTCCCCAGGTGGTCACAGAATATGTTCTGAGTTTTGGAGGGTTTTCCCCCTGAGTTCTTGACCAAAATCCCACTTTTTGACAAAAAGAGCTTTGATGGTTTAGGCATGTTCTTCCTCCTCTGGGCATAGGACCCCTTCCCTTATACTTAGCAGTTCTCAAGGTGTAATGGAGCACTGCAGGCAAAAAAGTGCCCCTGGGTATTAGACAACTGCTTTTAACTGAATTCAACTTAAATTTCCCCCAGTACTGACTCCAGTCACAGTAATGTTCATTTTGATTATTGATCAGTGTAATGGCAGATTGAATCACTGGCTTACATTTTCCATCCTTTCTTGTTTTAAAAGATATTTTGCTCTCTTCAGAACCAGTATATAATGTCACCACTCAGGATAATTTTGGAAGATGAGAAATTATGCTTTAGTTTTGGCAACTGAAAATTTTTTCCAATTTGTTGCTATGCTAAGAAGTGGTTTAAGGAGTTTTACGGGCCTCTCATGTCTCCTTTAAGACTTGGTGAATTTTATTTTGGAAAACTTTTTTGCCCCCTTTTCATTTGATTTCCTCTCAGAAACCATCATCTGGGCATCATCAGGACAGACTTAATATCAGTATTCTTGCTTAAGAAATTAGGATGTGTCTTTCCACACGCATTGCAATGGAGAAGGTGTTCTGTTTTTTCCCTTTCAGCTGACTAATGCTTTCATATCAACATTTAACTACACATATTAAAGTAGTAATGTAATAAAAGACTTATTCTCTTCAAAATCACATTCCTCAGATACTACTGAGAAAGCCATTTGCCACCAGTGCAGAATATAACTTAAAATTCAAATTTGGAGTTCATGGAATGCATTTCAAACTGTTAAAAAGAAACATAAAAAATGGGCAAAAAAACACCCTTTTTTTCCTTCTGAAAACAGTATTTTAAAGCCAGGACTGTAAAAAAGCACTGCTAAAAAGTTATAGGATTCAGAAAAAAACATAGTATTTTTGTACAGTATCTTATAAAATGTTTAGATCTCTCTCTACATTCTCTTTACAATGTAATGTCTTTAAGTGACTGTTTCCCAATAAACTAATTTTGATGCCTCTTGTCCTGTGTACTGTGTGCTTAATTCAAGCAGAAACGTTAGCAGGGGATAATTTTTAGCAGAAACTTCTGCAAGCTAATGGTTTGCATAGGAGGGGAGAGGGTCTATGTGGGGAGGAGGAAGACTGAATTCCATCTGTACAGAGGTCCAAATCATTGTACTTAATAATCTTATCCCAGTGGGTTGGGAAACTCTAGTGGTCTCTCTCTTGAGCCCATGATGAAATGATACCTTTACCCCCCAATTGCCCTTTCTCTGGATTCTTCTTGCTTAGTTACATATGCCTTTTTCCTACCCTCTTGCTAACATGTGCCCAATGACATACTTCTAACCTGCTAATATTTCTTGGAAGGTAAGCTCTCTTGCATTCTGATAATTGTCTATTTGATTTTAAAGACCAGAGCACCCTGAGGCACCTCTACCTAGATAGCCACAGACTAGTATATTGGACTTTGCTAATATTTCTGTAATTACCTGTGCATTTCACTGCTGCTTAAAGAACTTAATGATGGATTAATTTAAGCAGAGGAGATTTGTGCTAACTTCAAAGACTAAAATCGAAATTCCAGGGCAAGTCTAGCTGAAGGTGATTTTAATTTGATATGATTTGATTCTGTACGCTCCCCTTAGAAAGTACCTTCAGTTTTTGCATTTGGGCACTCTGGTGCTCTGTGAGTAGTACTTGTGATGTAAATCCTCAAGTAAATTTGCATTTATTCAACAGCCATGCCCTGCTTCTTGTCAGAAGGTTTGACCCTTTGCGTGTGGAATAGATGACCACATGCCAGATGCTGAATTGAGTTCATCCCCAGACATTGTTTCTACATAATCCAAAACTGTCATGGTATATGTGGAGATGAGTGACTGGGTTTGTTTTCATTTCCTTATGAGCCCGTGCCAGGTAGAACAGGTGTCCATGGCTGGCCCCCTGAGTAGGACATTGAGTAGTCCCGCTGAATGTCTGTGTGCCTAACATCTTCATCTCCTTTATCGTACATTGTGCCTTTCATGTTTCAAACTGTGAGATAGTGATTGGTTGTGTTCCAGTCTGTGTGCAGTTTCCTTGCTTGAGTTTTTTTTTCCGTTTTTCCTTTTCCATTTTCAACATCTATTATTTGGTTCCATGATGTTTCTGCCGCGGGTTGACCATTAAATGTTCCAAAAAGAGTTGAACTGACCTACACATTAATTCTGCATTTTATGCTTTTCTAGGTCTCCAGAGAGAGCCCAATCCCTGTCCTGTAATTACTGTAGAGCACTTTAAAGAATCAGCGGGTGTTAAAGGCCTTCCCCTGTATCCAGACCCTTCCAGAGAGCCTGATGCAAAGACTCAGAACAACTTAGAATCTGACTACTTGGCCCGAGATGGCCCTTCTAGCAACAGCTCTTTCCACAGCAGTGAAGAGGAAGGGACTGACCTGGAGGGAGACATGCTGGATTGCAGTGGGTCTCGACCTCTCCTTATGGAGTCTGAAGAGGAAGACGAAAGCTGTAGGCCTCCCCAGGGGAAGCTGGGAGGAGCCATTCCATTTGTTCCACTTGAAGTCTCTACTGAGCAAGCAAAAGCAGTGCAAGATGGGAGAAAGAATCAGTTCCAGCCCCTCACACAGCCAGCCACTGATGGTCGCGGTGAACCAGATGTTTTTGCCACAGCTCCCTTCAGGAGCTCAAGGGTTCCAATTGATGACATGGACATTTTCTCCAAAGCTCCATTTGTCTCTAAGGCCAACGTGGTTCCTTCTCAGTCCGAGGAGGTGGACGTGTTCTTGAGAGCTCCTTTTACCAAGAAGAAAAGCATGGAGGAGTTACCAGTTGTTCAGGGTTCCTCCCAGGAGCTGCCTGCACAGGCAGGTCTCCTTGGTCAGACAGGTGATGTCCCTATGCTCTCGGGCCTTGATAGAGCAGCATACACCTCTGTCCAAGCTCAGTATTCCATAGCTGGTTTTGTGCAACAGTCCAACCTCCCTTCCCATTCTGTACAAGCAGCAGACCATCTTGACAGCATCTCTCCCAGAGGATCCTCCATGGAATCAGGGGGCCATCCTAATGACAGAAACAAAGGACCTCAGCCCCAGAAAGAAGCTGTCTCAGGCCCTGTAGCTGGTAAACCATTCCGCCCCCAGTCTTTATCCAAATATTCCCGTCACTATAGCCCAGAAGATGAGCCAAGTCAGAAGCTCAGCCCATTGCTGCCTACAAAATTGTTTCACAAACCAATAAGCAGTCAATAGCTGGCTCTGTTTCCATCACATCCCTTTCTTCCAGGACTACAGAGCTGCCCACTGCTGATCCTTTTGCTTTAGCACCCTTTCCTTCTAAAACAGGCAAGCAGAAACCTTAGGAACAGTACCTGAGCCTGAGCCCTGACTCCACCCAACCCCACCGGTATCTACCATACCGCTCCCAGCTGAGCCTTCTCAAGAAGAAATAGTATCAATTGTTGTGTTTCAGTCCCCTGCATCAGAGCAGTCTCTTCAAGTCAACAAACTCAGTTGTAGTGATACTTAGTTGAAACCCCTTTTAAGTTATGTTTATTTCTTTTGTTTGTATTGATTTCTGGACTTTTAGGCACTCCCATTTTCTTCCTAGAGGCCTTCCGCCTCCACTCTGCTTTTTTCCTTTTGTCCAGAAACTTTTAATCCAGGAATATTTTACCCCACTTCCCGGGGGCCATATTTTTGGTGGTTTTAATTCCTGAAGCTCCTGTTCAGAGTTATGGCCATTGAAGAGTCAAGATTAATCCTTTGGGACTTGATTTAATACTCTTGAAATGGGGAGATGTCTAGAAAGAAGAGCAAGATAAAATCCTGCACATCAAGAAGTATAATCCTACAGCTACTAATCATTCCTATAGAACCAACAGCTCTGGAAGGGTTCTGTGGATCTGTTTCCAAGTCTGTGTACAAGCCAGGCCAGCCCCTGTGCATGAGTGGCTGTGGGTTTGTGATATGCGTCAGATCCTTTCCTATGTAGAAATGCACACAAAAGGGAGAACTGCACTCATGTCCAATCATGTGGGTAGGGCTTTCCCCACATCCATGCTTTTTAAAATTAGTATGGATGCACAAGTGTGTATGTGTGTATGTGTGTATGTGTGCAGGAAATCATTTTTCCTTTAGGTAAATCCTATCCCACCATGCCTACCTCCACTATTGAATCATTCATTTGTTGACATTTGCCTGCTGACCTAACTGACTTGAACCCTGTTTTTAATCTCATGGCAAAATTGAATTCATTGGAAAGTATAGGGAAATCTTGCTGGATTCAGAGTGATTTTTTTCCCTCAGAATTTGTTCTTTGCTATTAACAAATTCCATTTACCTAATTATGAAAAATTCTCCCCATGTGTTTTTCCCTCAGAAAATAGAAAAAGAATACCTTTTATAATGCCAGCCACTTGGTACTTGGAGTCAGTGCCACCATTTTGAAGTTCATTAACCATGAGACTAGACTAGAGAGTAGGGTTGCTTATTTGTTTTCCCAAATCTTTGCTACATTTCTCTACTGAAGAAATATGAATCCGAGACACATAAAAAACTGGGAGAATGAAAAAGACCTGAGTCAGCTAGCCATGAAAACCCTTAAATTGTGTATCCTCTTTAGATGTTAAAGGAGCAGACAGGTGACTGCCCTGTGTTTTGGAAAGTGTCTTATTTCTGGGAAGATCTGACTCATTCCTAGCTTTTTTCACACTCTTTATTTTTAGTGCCTTAAAATAAAACCTCCATCTCTCTGGGAAGACTTCCGCTGAGGAGGTTCGGTTGCTTGGAAAGTCGCTGCGTAAGTTTCACCCTGACAGCTTCCTGTGACCTGTAGCAGTGTTAGTCCTTTCTCCCAGCTGGAGAGGTTTGGAAAGCTGTGCACCAAACCAGATTAGTGATTTTAAATGATTGGAAATCCACCCAAGAATCAAGCCTAAACACCAAGCTTTACTGCAGTTGATTAGGTGTGCTATTCTTTAAATTTAAAATTCAGGGGGCTCAGGGTATAACTCAGCTATCGAGTACATGCTTAGCATGCATGAGGCCCTGGGTTTAATCCCCATCATCCAAAAATAAAATTCAGGGATCTTGATAGTACAATAAAAGCAGCTGCTTTTCCACACTTTTTGGTTACTCTCCCCCTATTGCAAATGTCCAGTAAATAGGTAAAATTAAATAGTTGGCACTGGGTCAGGGCTACTGCAGTGGTTTTCCAACCGAGGTCTCAGCCATGCCAGAAATCTGTCTTTCATGTAGGTGGATTCTAAATGTTCATTCTAAGAATTGACTTTCTCCTAATATTTTTTATTTTGGGGCAGTACTGGGGTTTGACCTCAGGGTCTCATGTTAGCTAAGCAAGCACTCTACCACTTGATTTTTCTAAGTATCAGTGGATGCAAGATTATCTTTCCATTGAGTGAATAGTTTTGGCTAATGCACATGGAACTTTGCAATCTAGCTCTTCCCAATCTTACCAAGTGAACCCCTCAAAGGCATAAGTGAAGAGGATTAGGAACATTCAGAGAGAGTTCTCACCTGAAATCACAGTGCTTGCAGGCTGATAGCACACAGCTGTATTCCCAGCTACTTGGAAGGCTGAGGCAGGAGGACTGCTTGAACCCAGGATTTTAAGACCAGCTAGACAATGCAGAGAAACCCATCTCTTAAAAAGAGAAGAAACAAAAATAAGAGGTCACCAAGCATGGTGGTGCATACCTGTAATCTCAGCACTGACAGGCTGAGGCAGAAGGAGTTTGAGGTCAGCCTACCCTACTTAGTGAGATCTTGTCTCAAAAAAGAAAAAAAAGAAAGTGGGAGGTCATTCTAATTCTTTTGTGGGGGGCAGTGCTGGGGTTTGAATTCTGGGCTTTGCCCTTAATAAAACATGTGCTTTACTACTTGAACCAATGCCCCAGCTCTGTAATTCATTCTTTCAGATGTTTACAATGACCTCAGTAACAGGTCTGTAAATGTTCTCTTTGCTTATTTGATCACTCCATCCTAATCAAATGGCCATTTTAATTCTCAAGGTTCAAATCAGAATGAAATCATGGTCATTTTATTATGTCGTTGAATCATTTGTGAAGCATGGGCTTAAAACCCTTTTTAAAACTTCACTGAGACCTACTGTGGGTAGAAACTCCATACCTTTTTTGAATAGAGAAATGAATGTAACCAATGTAAATTACTTTTTTGGTTCTTTTCTCAGTGGTGTGTGAAGAAATTTTGACTTGTGTTAATTATTAGCTAATAATTGGTGCATTCTGAAGACTGGTACTATGGTAGAGTTTTACTGCCTTTTTACTGTTTGTCTTCTGATCATTCATACAGGGTAAGTGCATCATTTGAAGATCAGTGTCCTGTGAGGGGCCATCCTGAGTCTGGAAATCCTGACATTTTCATTTTATGGGGAATTAGGAGTGCTTGGGCTGGGATGAATTGGTAACAATTCATGTTTCCAGTAACTATACTGTAACAAATTAATACTAATGAGGAAAAGTAAAATATATAGTTAACAAAATACTGCACTTTCTGTTTTAGTTTGTGTTGTGTATTGATTTATGGGGTTTTTTTCTTTACATATTTGAAAGGAAATACAGGAATTTTTGATTTTTCATTTCAGTGGAAAGCAATGAGCCAGAATTGTGTTTAAATAGTGCATTGAGCCACAACACTCAATGATGAACTCTTAACGAATGTGCTGGGCTGGCGGTGTGGCTTAATGGTAGAGTGCTTACCTAGCATTCGTGAGGCCTTGAGTTTGATCCCCAGTACCTCCAAAAAAAAAAAAAAGTGCCTATTAACTGATTGAATTAATGAAGTTGACATGTAACGAAAAATATTTTACCAATTTCTTGTACTCACATATAGCCCTTTTAGCTTCCAATCAGTGGTTACATTAGAAAATGAAATAAATAGCCAGGCATGGTGGTACTATGATCCCAGCACCCAGGAGACTGAGGCAGGAGGATCATGAGTTTGAGGCCATTCTGGGTAACTTAGACACTGTCTTAAAATAAAAATTTAAAGAGCATTTGGGGATATAGGGGTTTAATCCATAGTACTGGAAAAGGTCGTAGCTCACTTGGTAGAATGCCTGCCTAGCACAAAGTCCTGAGTTCAAACACTACTACCAAAAAAAAAAAAAAGTGAAATGAACAAAATCTGCTGCTGACACAGATTTCTAAGGGAATCTAGGTCATTAAAAATTATTTTGTTTTCAGCTCACATATTGTTGAGTTAAAAAATCTCCTATGTAGGGTAAGTAGTGTGTATGTATTCACTCACCTGTGTTGTATCTGAGCTTCATCTGGCATCAAAAATCTTTTCCTAAACTTTATCTTACTGGTCCATAATGTATTTAGTGAGCTTTAGGATATGTGCACATCAGTGTTTTCAGCTACTTGGTGGGCATTTCTCTAATGCATTAAGAAAGCAGATCTAAGTATAATTACCAGAGTGAACTGATGATAGAAATTCTGTATTTTTCTTCCATAAAGAAAATAATCAGAAAATACATATTATATGTTTGCATCACATCAAATAGGAGATTTTATTATAGGAAATTAGAGAGTGGCTAGAGCCAGTGCTCTCCCAACTTAAAATGAAATCATTTGAGTTCCTTAAAAAAAAAAAAAGATGTTTTTATTTGCTATGTCTTTGTAATAGCAGAAATGTCTTTGAAATTGGAGAACACATCTCAGTCAATTACAAAATGGCTGCATGTCACAGAGCTGTTTTCTGTGAGAAATTTGGAATCCAAATTATTATTATTATGGTACCAGAGCTTGAACTTAGTACTCCAGCAGCTGTATTTTTGTGAAGGGTTTTTCAAGATAGGGTCTTGAGAACTATTTGTCCGGGATGGCTTCGAACACACGATCCTCCTGATCTCTGCCTCCTGAGTAGCTAGGATTACAGGCGTGAGCCACTGGCACCTGGCTGGAATCCATATTATTTTAATGAAAGGTGGTACACAGGAGAGCTGCAGAAAAGCTGCAGAAGAGCAGAAGAGCACCATGTTGCTCTTCATAGCGACCCTGAATTCTGGCCCTGCAATCCTTGCCTGAAGGAGTAAACATTGAAGGTTTTTAAATGGAATCATATGATTTGAATTCTTAGTTTTCCCATTGCCTTTGTCAATTAATTCTTGTTTTGTTTTGCTTTAATTGCCAGAACACTTGAAAACTTAATGAAAGGTTCACTAAAGGGAGAATTTCAAAATGCTTAAAAATAGAAGATAATACCTAGTGGGAAATTGGTTTTGCATTATCCCTAGAAGTCTTCCTAGTTCACTTCTCTTGTTCTTCCTATTTCATTTCCTCACTCAACATTCCCCTATTTTGATAAGTGAATGGTAAGAAGTATGGATGAACTCTCATGTTAACTTCTAGTTGCCTCCCTTGTTACTGTGTAACAGTTTCTTCAAGATTTCAGTCCAGCCTTGACAATCTCACCAAGTAACAATGAAATGGTTCATCTTCCCCATTTCTATAGGACTAGAAGAAAGGATTAAGGAAGGTGGGCAGAACATACCTTTACCCTGTGGAGACAACCCAGAAGCAGCTCTCCACCTCAATCTAGGCCCAGAGTGCTCTAGAATGCAGGGCCAAGTTTATGTGTGAAGGGACTCTAGAATAGCTAGTAAAAATGAGTAAATGTTAATAACACATGGCTTAGTCCCATATTCCCAAGCCTTGTAACTCCATAAATTTGGTCTAAACTTTAACCCCGTAATCTCTAATTTAAGTATGTGTGACACAGTTTTGAGTTTATAGTAACAATGTTCTTGAAATCAAGTCAGTGTTAACTGCATCTCATTGTGATAGCACTATGCACACATAGTATAGGGATCTGCTTCATACCTTTTGGCAAGGGATTGCAGAAATGATTTTTATCAACATTAATTAAAGTAGGATGAGTTAGGTGAACCTTTGACCTGGACAAATCCCAGGTGAGGGGCAGGTACAACTGCGTCAGGGATAGGGATATAAGGAGGAGCCATGGTCGGCCATTTTGTGCTTGCGTGTTTGCTCAGTTGGAGTGAGCATGTGCTTGCACCCTCTTGATCAAAAGAAATTGCCTTGTCAAGGAAAAAAAAACTAGGATGGGTTAGGGCTGGGGGTGTAGCTCAGTGGTAGAGCGCATGTTTAGCATGTGTGGAGCCCTGGATTCACTCCCTAGCACCTTCACTTTGAGGGTAAAGGGAAATATGCAACCTTTTCACTCGGAAATGGCAAATTGGTTGAATTCTCTGAGTCTACCAAAGATTCTTGTTGGAGGAGTGTGAATGGAGAGTGTGTGTCTGTGTGCGTTTGTGTCTGTATGTGTGGGCATATGCACCCTCATGCTTTCTTCCATGATGTTAACTCAGCCCTCCTAATAAAAGCGTCCAAAGGCTAGAAGTGAACATAGGTATCTGGCATGAGTAAATTCAGTTCCCTTTGCCAAAAACTCTCAAAGTTAGAACTGGAGTTGTTCTCAACAGAGTTGGGAAAAACTAGCGATTCACTGCTTGAGCTTCCTTCCCAAGTAAGGAGTTGAGTCCACAAGGTAAGACTCAGTAGGGCTGGTCCTAAGGACTCACATGTGGCATTGGGAGGGCAGTTGTGATCAGACACCGCCAGACTTACAAGATGTTGCTTTGAATGAGGGAACATTTAATGTCATTTTTTAGAGGATAAAAATCGAATAAAAAAGGCCAAGGACTATGGTCATTCCATGAAGAAAAGGTGAACTCCCGCCACTGGCTGTATTTGGAGTTGACTGAATAAGGAGGTCCACGCTGATGTAAGGAGTATTAAGGTCATCAGGCCTCAGGAAAAGCTAACGTGCAAACAATCTCAAGGCTGTGAACAAGGGAAAGGAAGGGAGGAAAAACAATAAAGTCAATCTTAACCATTTTTGCAATACCTCTTATTTGCAGACTATTGAATTTATGTTATTGCACTCTTGGTGTGATCTGTCTTATGTATCTGATAGTTTTTATGAGTAATTGAGTTGTACTCCTATACACTTTATTAAAATGAACTTAATTGAATGACATCCCTTTGTGTTTTTTTCTTAAATGAAAATTTCCTACAATTGGATGGATCCATAACCATCTTTCCCTAGTACAAAGCTTCATGATACATGTTTAACATTCACTAAAAGACAACAGCATTAACATCAAGAGAGAAGTCTTAGGAAAAAATGACTAGGAATTTTAAAACTCCATCCTGTGAGGGAGAACCTGCCTGCCTATTTCCTCACTACAGAGTGACCCTTAATAGGATTCAGAGAGAGCCAGCAATATACCAAATTCATAAAGATGGGGTTTGAGATCCAGGGTTCCAAAGGGTTCTGATGTAATATGCATGAGTATAACCAAAGTTGCCTACTTTTTCTAGGAATTTGTTTATGATCTAAATATACGCTCCATTTAGTCCTGTAATAGGAAGTCTTCATACTTTTCCTGTTTTGAGGTAGCATTAGCCCAAACTGCAGGTTTCCTTACCTGTGGCTGCAGCTGCTCTGGGAGAGGCCCTGTTAGACTCCCACTGAGCTTTCTGCCAAGGTGTGGGGCAGGGCTCACTTGTGGATGGCTTGTCCCTGCTTTCCACATAGGGAGTGCAGGAGCTACAAGCTCCAGCTCCTACAGATGGGCTCTGTTTGCATTTACACATAAGTGGCTCTTTTGCCCCCTTGATGCTGGTTGGTAAGATACCAGGCAGGGAGGCGGTGCTTTTACATTGCCTCCTAATGAGAACCAAATGGGAGGAGCCAGGGAAAAGCCAGGAGCAGGTGGCTTAACCTGCTTCCCTAGATTTGGAAACAGCTTTTTTCTTCTTTCCTTATATATTTTTCCTTGAATTCATCTTTACTTATAATGTAGTAGTAAAATCAACACAGGTTAACATGTCAGCTTACATGGAAGGAGACCAAGTAATTCCTCAACCTGCTCATGTAAGTTTAGCCCATAGGTCCAAAAAGAGTCCACATATTCCCTCTGGAATGCAGCCCAGGTCTCTAATGATAGGGGCTGGGACAAAGACCAGCTAGACAATGGAATTCTAAGTCAGAGATGGTAGTTCAACCAGATCTCCCAAACCTCATCCTGTCTGGGAACAGGAGTTTTTGATCCTAAGCACACACTTTCACTCTTTAGAGAAACTTGAGATTATCTGAGGGGAATTGTTCACAATTTTCTCATAAAGTAACCAAAAGTTAAATACAAATTGTTAGCTTTTATTTTTTTTATAATGAATGTTCAAGTAAAAATCAAAATAGCTAAAATTACACTTAGTTAAAAATTAATGGAGCGATGAAATCTTGAAAATTTAAGTTGAAATTTTGACTTGGGAAATTTGAATTTAGTTGGTATGCTGACTACAAGAGAACTTGGTGGGAGAAGATATTAACAAAATTGGAAGCAAACCAAAAGTTGACTAATAAATCTCCCCTGTAAAGTGTATATACAAAAAATTTGAGCCCAGAAGGTGCTGGGGGATAACGCTTAAGATCCTAGTTACTTGGGTTGTTGAGATCAGAAGAAACGGGTTTGAGACCAGTCTGGCAAATAGTTCACAAGACTCCATCTTAAAATAACTAGAGCAAAATGGTCTGGAGGTGTGGCTCAAGTGGGTAGAGTGCCTGCTTTGAAAGCAAGAAGCTCTGAGTTTAAACCCCAGTCCCACCCACAAAAAAGATTGGAGTTCGATGAAAATAATTACAATAAATTAGGAAATTGATTGACTTAGTATAGTTGCTTGATATTCACACATCCATATGCTAATCCTCAGATCCTGGGAATATTACCTCACATGGTAAAAGAGATTTACCAGATGTGCTACGATTTTGAGATGAGGAGATTATCCCAGATTATTCAGGTGGGCCCAAGGTAGACATGAGTGCCCTTTAAAAAAGACACAGGAGCCTGGTGCTGGTGGCTCAAGCCTGTAATCCTAGCTACTCCAGAAGCAGAGATCAGTAGGATCGTAATTCAAAGCCAACCCTGTAGTTCGGGTGACCCTATCGTGAAAAAACCAATCACAAAAAAGGGCTTGGTGGAATGGCTTCAAGGTGTAGGCCCTGAGTTCAAGCCCCAGTACTGCCAAAAAAAAAAAAAAAAAAAAAAGAATGGTCAGATGTAGGGAAGGCAACAATGTGATGGTAAAAGTGAAGATTGGAGAATACAGTGTGGTTTGTGTTTGTTTTGAGATAGGGTCTCACTGAATCACCCAAAACTCCTGTACTCAAGTGATCCTTCTGCTTCATCCTCACCAGTAGCTGGAACTATGGGTGCATGCCATTGCACCAGGCTGTGAAGATGCACTTTAAAGGTGGAGGAAGCCAAGAAAAACAGGTACGTAGACACTAGACACTGAAAGACTAGGAAACATTCTCCCCTTAGAATCTGTAGAAGGAATGAGACCTGTTGACATTTTGAGCTTAGCCCAGTGAAAATGATGTCAAATTTCTCACCTCCAGATGGTAGCAGAAAAGACTTGTTTTTAAGCCACTATATGGTGTGGTAATTGGCTCCAGCAGCTGTAGGAAACACAATGTTAGCTGGATTTCTCTTTGATTCACCAACTACTGTGGCAGCATTGTGTGGCAATGGCACAATTCCCTCAGTCCACTAACTGAAATTGTGCTTTCCCTGACAAGTTTCAATATTTGCATTTGCTTCATACTTTGCACATGGAGTGGAGACTTAATCTCCTGTGTAACAGCACTTTCAAATTCATCTAAAATGGAGTCATAGTAGAGATTGAACAGAAATGGGAAGAAAACACTAGAGAGCTTGGCAGTGGGGGACATGGAAGAAAAAATGTTAATGAGGGAAACACTTGAGCATGGTTGAATGCTCAGGCAGATGGGCTTCTGGGCGAAGGAGAAACACTGTAGAAGGGAGCAGATGAAAGTGAAGGAATAAAAGTGAAAAGTAAATGGACATTGAGTACACCTTGTCCCCAGTTCTTGGTTTCTTAACACCATTCTCAAGAGGAGGCTGGTCTATAAGGAGAAATGGCTGATTCCAGAGCTAGAGCAGGACGCACACAAGATGAACTAGGACCATCTTCTAATCTAGTGCCAGAAAGTAAAAGCATTTCAAGAAAGGAAAATGTCAGCTGGGCATGGTGGTGTGTATGGTCATCTCAGCTACACAAGGAAGCTTAAATAGGATCATGGTCCAGGCAGGCCCTGTGCATAACTGAGAGACCCTATTGCAAAAAATAACTAAAGCAGGAAGGGCTGGCAGCATGGCCCAAATGGTAGAGTGCCTGCCTAGCAAGGCCCTGAGTCCAAACCCAATACAAAAGAGAGTGAGAGAGGGAGGGAAGGAAAGAAGGAAGGAAGGAAGGAAGGAATGTCACAGGGAGTCAAGAGCCAACCTGAAAGAACTCCCAAGCTAGAACAATTTGAACAATAAAATAACAGCAATTATAAAGTAAATATCTGTGAACAAACTCTGAAACAGAAATTATTGAATAAATACACGGGGAAGGAAAGACAAAAATCTCACACAGAATTTCAATTAGTTTATGTAGGCTTTCCTCTAAGCAAATGGAGCTGAAGTCCACACACCTTGAACTTGGGCTGTGCTTTCAAGAGCAGCATATGGAAAGGGGTGGTGGAGTAACTTCACGGCGGAAAAACCTAACAGGCGCCACCTTAGGGTCTGATAGAGGATAACGTCAGGAATGACAGGTCATGCTGACCGTGTGCACCCTTGATAGAATATGGCGAGAAAGACACTTCATTTCTGTAGACATCCTCCCCAAAACCCCTTACCCCATTTTAACCAAAAGAATAACATCGGACAAATCTCCATTGAGGGACATCCTACAAAGTACAGTGCCTGTCCAGCACTCCTCGAAACTATCAGTCATCAAAACCAAGGAAAATCTGTGAAACTGTCACAGGCCAGAAAAGACTAATCCTTCCAGAAGGACTGCGGCGGGTTTGGGGATAGGAACAGTACTCAGCTGCAAGGATAGGAAAGTCCATCTCCGCAGTTGTGTGCAGGAGTGCAGGTTGCCTTCCTGAGGAAGCCTGCGCATGCATAAGCAAAGATTTATCTCTGCCTGGTTCAGGCTGACCCCGTCTTTGCGGTCCTTAGCTGGCAGACTGCCAGATTCAACAACAGCGCCGTCCTTGGCCTGTAGGGGGCGCGCTTTCCGAACGCCCGCCCCGGTGCCGGCCCGTCTGCGCCTGCGCGGAGCTTCGGCAGCGCTGCAAAGGCGGTCTGTCCACGGCTGCGCACTCTCGGACTAACACGATGGCGGCCACCGCCTTGCGGGTCTGGGGAGCTGCGGCTACTGCCGCCGGGCTGCGTAGGCGGTAGGTGACGGCCACGGAGCTCCGAAGAGGGGTGCAGCTGGGCGTAGCGGGAGAAGCTCAGGTCGCCGCCCTCTCCAGGGGAGGGGGTCGTGCATCTCATGGAGCCCTGGTCCTTCCCATGTCGCCGCAGTCCGGGCTTGACATGAGGTGGACGGCGGTGGGCGAGGCTTCTCTGCGCGGTGTCCCGGCGCTCCGAGGCCCCAGGTCTGGGTGATGGTGGGGGATGGGAGGGGAGAGCTGTCAGAGACCCCCCTGGCCTTACAGTGTGTGCCCCCCAGCCCCTCACCACTTGCATTCACTGCTCTGAATCAGAGCAGTGACTCAAAATCAGATGTTGCACCGAAGGGAAGAGATACTTTGTCTTATTTCCTCGCTTTCCCAGCGAGGCCCAGAAAGCAGACGTGTTGTGACACGTCCAGGGTCACACAGCTCCTAAGTGATGGGACTCGGAGGAAAAGCTACACCCTTGATTTCCCGGCCACCACTGCCTAGGCCCACTGGGAGAGTCCTCCACCCATCCCTTTCCAGAGCAAGGCCTTTGAGTTTCACTCCCCAAGAGATAGCTGTCAACCTTGTTAGAAGACTTAGGTAGGTAGGTGTCAGACCCTCATTTTACTTCTGGAGAAAAAGACCAAACAGAGATCTTGACATTTTGAGCATTAGAAGTTTCAGTGCGTTCCACAGAAATCGTAAGGTCACAGAAGAACAGAAGAACTCGTTCTACGTGCATTCCTTCGGTCATTCAGCTCACGCTTTCTGTTAGGCTTAATAGATTTATCCTTGCTGTTGCCTTTTCCCTGGGTTTGAAGAGATAGCAAGACTGGTCTTCCAGTGCTTCCAAATTCCAGCTCATTTGTCTGGAGATGTAACTGTGAGCTATAGAGGAAGATGTTTTCATCCCAAATCTTGAACCCCATTCATTGTTGGCCACATATTTACATAATTATAATTTCTAATTATAATTTAGTGCACACTTGGGCCTGCTCTGGCACTGGCTTAAGCATGCCACATGGATAGTATGGATTACCCTCCCAGTGTTTATGAAGTAACTATGAATATTAACCTCATTTTAAAAACGAGGAAGTGAGGCCACCATGCTTGCTGCTGGGTACATAGAAATGAAGACAGTCTGTCCCCTTACTAAGTTTGTAGTCAAGTAAGAAAGGCATGCTAGTTACAGTGCTGTAACTGTGGTGACAGACCTCATGCGACAAGTGTTTGGAGCAGCATGGGGAGTGGCAGTCATTGCTTCACAAATTTCCTTGATTTTCCCAATTTAGTGTTGTTCCACAATGTTACTAATAATTATTTTCTTATTCTCCTGAATCCTGAGTGCCAACTCTATTCGGTCCATTTACTTTGGGTTCGTTTGTTCTTTGTGACAAACAGAAATCAGGTTTTGTAAGAGGAAATGTGCCTGTTTGTTGCTTCCTGCCTATTTGAGGTTGAAAGGACCCAGAGAAATGTTTTTTTGTTTTGTTTTGTTTTGAAGAAGTGATCATGTGTGTGACCACAAAATGAGTCCTGTGCTTGAAATTCTTCCATAGTGCCTATGAAGTGACAGTTGTAATGGATAGCAATATTTCAAAGTAAACTGGACTTTAACTTGTGTCAGGGCCCTAAAATTTTTCACTGCTTGAGCCTCCTTTTATTTCTTTTTCCATTAGTAGTTATTTTTGCTTTCTCCCTTTTTGTGTCAAAGCCATAAAAAAGAACCAGTTAACGTGTCTCTATCAGAGTGAAATTAAGTCTCAACACTGGACTCATGTTTCCAGTGTATAGATTGTTGAATGTTTTAGCAGTTTGGAGGATAGTATAATTTCTGTTAGACTTATTGACTATTGAAATAAAAGTTGAGTATCCCTTATTTGAAATGTTTGGGACCAGAGGTGTTTCAGATCTTGGGTTTTAGAATATTTGCATATATATAATAGGCTATCTTGGGGATAGGACCCAAGTATAAACACAAAATTCATAGATGTTTCATATATATCCTATACATAACCTGAAGGTAATTTCAGTGTGCCTGCTGATCAGGCATGAATTTTCCACTTATGGCATTTTGTCAGTGCTCACAGACTTTCAGATTCAGGAGCATTTCAGATTTTCTGATTAGAGATTCTTGTCCTGTACTTTTTTTTCTCCTCCCCTCTTGGAGCCAGGAGTCAAATCCAGAGCCCCTAAACATGCTACAGAGGCACTCTACCACTGAGCTACACCCCTAGTCTGTACTTTTAAAAACACGTATTGTAGGTTATCTCTAGGTAACATAGTGGTATGGGACAAAAAGGAGAGAGACTTTTCAGTGCATAAAGCTTCTCTCCTTGTCGATTTTCAGCCGTGTTATATTACCTAGTTTTTAAGAAGTAAAAGGCAAGTGGAGTGACTCAAGCAGTAAGTGTGCTGCCTAGCAAGTGTGAGGCTCTGATTTCAAACCCCAGTACTGCCAAAAAATAAAAAAAAAGTAAAAGTCTATGGTTCTTTCTTCCATTATGCATGGTTGACTCTGGGGCTGTGGATTTAAGTCACTTAATATAGATACATGTATTCTTACACCTGGATGTTATATTATTCTTTGTATTTCCAATTACTGAGTCTATGAATTTGGTTTTTACCTGTTTTTGAAATTTTTGTATTACTTGCCTGAGCAAGTGGAAATAATATTGTAGGTGGAAAAGTCAGCTCTGTAATTATGTTTACATTTTACATGTCTTTTTTTAAACATAAGAAGTAGTAACTGACTTGAAAAGGTTAAATCTCTTAAAACATCATTTGTTATTTATTTTAATATGCAGATTCTGTCATGTGATGAATCCATGCACCACTAAAAAGCAGTCCTTGCATCAATTTTTACGAAGACCACTTTTCCTACCACATGGAGCCTTATGTAACACAGGTAAGATTTGACCTCTTAGAGCAAATCATGTTTCAGACACTAATGGAACTGTACTAGGATTTTATGGAGCATAAAAGACATGAGTCTGTAAATGTTCTAGTCAGAGGATTATAAAAATAGAATAGGGTAGTTTTTTTCTGTCATAACACCATCTTTTATTGTAATTATGTCCTATGAAATCTCAGATATTGTTAACTTATTCCCTGCATGAGTTGCTTAAAAATTATTTCTGAAATGGAAATATTGTAAAAGGAAGTTTATAAATGAATTTGTGTTTCAAAGAATAATATGCTTTTTAAGCTATTGCTTTCCTTATTTTGATTAAAAAAATCTCTAAAATCATTAAATTTGTGCTTTTACCTTCTGACATCAGATTTTGAATGTAGTTTTTCTTTCTTTGTCAAAATTAATTATTGTGGTATTGACAGTCTTGTGGATCTTATTGCCTTGATTTTCTTTCATACTGAAATAGATAGATAGATAGATAGGATTTTAAAATATTTGAAATATGATGGGCTCAAGTTGTAAAGTGCCTGCCTAGCAAGCATGAGTTCAATCCTCAGTACTGCCAAAAGGAAAAAAAAAAAAGAAACATGATCATTGTAATGTTGTTAGGGAATCTTGGGGAGAGGTTTTTGTGTGTGTGTGTGTGTGTGTGTGTGTGTGTGTGTATGTGTGTATGTGTGTGTATAAATGCCTACCTGTATGTTGTTGTTGAGCTATAAGCATAGGGATTCAGCTTGTTTCTCTTTCCATCTCTACGTTGAACACCTTCCTAGTCTGGAATGAGGCTGACAATGGATAAGGGTATGACTTAAGTCAGGGTGGAGATCTTACCTGTTCGGTACACAGAGCAAGAAGTCTGCAGGCTTGCCTGTCTCCTAGAGTCACAAAACTTTAGATGTAAATATTGAGTGACTCAGCAGGTCAGACTACTTTACTTAAACTTACATTTTGTAGGACTGATATGTGTGGTCATCTAGGCTTTTCAAATTGCAAACCCATGGAGTTCAGTCACAGACATTGACTTTAAGCACCACTGACCTAGATTGTGGGGAGCATATGCCTACCTATTTAGGTAGTACCAAGTATAAAAGGAAAAAATATCTTAGTCTCTCATGACACCTTCAGTAACATCTTTCTGGCTACTAAATGTAGGAGTCATTTTTTAAAAATACCTAATTAAACCAAATTTAGACTATAATTGAAATTATTTTATTAAATAGCTATTCAAGTTAGTTTTACAGTGCATGGAGAAAGATAAAGGCAGATTTAAGTCTTCAAATAGTGGTAGAGTGCCTCATGCTTCAGATTTTGGTTACCAATAAATTATTAAGACTGCAAGAAAATGATTGGTTCAGAACTAGGGTTAAAAGAACCTTGCTGTCCTTTATATACAGAAAGTAATGAAGTTTTTTCTTTAATGTTTTATTAAATAAAAAAAATTCCCTTGTAGCAAAGATTTTTCAGAGGAATATCTTGGTTGGAGGCATAATTTTTATTTGATTATTGATTTATTTATTTGGTGGTACGAGGATTTGATCTCAGGGCCTTAGTGCTTGCTAGGGACACTCTACCACTTGAGTCACAACCCGAGCCCTTTGTGCTTTAGTTATTTTTCAGATAGGATCTTGCTTTTTTGCTAGATTGCAGTCTTCCTACTTACAATCCCTGGCAGCTGGGATCACACCACCATCATGCCTGGCTTATTTATTTGAGATGGAGTCTAGCTAAATTTTTGTCTGGGCTGACTTCAAACTGTGATCCTCCTGATCTGTGCCTCCTGAATATCTGGGATGGAGATGTAAGTGTTTTAAATGAAGTGCTTGAACATGGAGGTTTGATCATTTCCTATTTTTCTCTTTTCAGGCTTTGACTTGTGACTAAGTCAGTAATTGATATCTAATTACAGCTGTAACTTAAGCAAAATGTACATCTTGTTTCAATTTCTACTTCATTTAGGAAATGGTTTAAAATCATCTAGGAAATGACTCTCAGCTGTCATAAACTAGAACTTTTTCCCTATTGGTTAAGAAAAGCAGTGCTGGGCTGGGGATGTGGCTCTGTGTATAACAACTTGCCTAACATGATACCAGCCATATGTGTTGCCAAATTAGGTCTCTTGCAAATTTAAAATGAAACTACTGCTTTTGAAAATTTTCATAAAATATGTGGTATGTAGATAATGACAGGATATCAAGCCTGATCTTAAATGTATTATCAGGATGGTTGGCACTAATAGGTAAGGACTGACAATATGCACATAGTCACAAGTTAGCACTAGGGACTGAAGCTGTGGCTCAAGCAACAGAACGCCTACTTTTTTTTGTGGTGGTGGGATTTGAACTCAGATCCCCATGCTTGTTAGGCAGGTGCTCTACCACTTGAGTCACTCTGCCCACCCCAGAACACCTACTTTGCATGCACAAAACCCTGATTCAAACCCCAATCCCACCAAAAAACAAACAAAGAAAAGAATCAGCACTAGACCATTATCCAGCTTCGAATTTTGGTGCTGTTGCTTACTGAATGACTTTGAGCTTTGCTTTCCTCATTTATGAATAGGATAGGGCTGGGGCCATAGCTCAGCAGTGGAGAGCTTACCTAACATGCACGGAGCCCTCCTGGGTATGATTCTCATCATTACAAAGAAACAAGAAAAAACGAGGATAAACACAGTGCCTCTCCTCTGGGGGTGAATGTGAGGGTTTAAATGATGCGATCCACATAAGGTGCTTAGCACCATGGCCAGCGTGTGATGCATACTCAGTGCATTTTATTTCTTATTTGTCATTGTCACCCTATTCAAATACACTGCTTCAAAGTGCAAAATGGTTTTTGCTCGGGTTTATTTCATAATAAATAGGGTTTGTTTAGTAGGTTTTCTCGTGCTTTTTTTTTTTTTTGGGCAGTACTGGAGTTTGAACTCAGGGCCTCACACTTACCAGGCAGGTGCTCCACTACTTGAGCCATTTGCCAGCCCTGTTGAATCATTTTAAAACCATAAAAAATCTAATGCTATTCTTTTCTCCTGCCAGTTGTTGTAACAACAAGGTAAGAAATTAAAAGATACTTTCTGTTCTCTGTTTATTGCTTTAAGGACTTTATTCTAAATCTAATCATGGTTCTGGAAGAAATATGTAAGAAATGAGCCTTTAGATACTTTTTACATATTCCGGAAAGTAATTCTTTTAGGTTTCCACTGATGTGATATTTTACACTGTTACTAACGGCCCCATGATCAAGTAATTTAACATCTTTTAACCTTGTTTTTTCACTTGTAAAATGGAAAAAAATGTTCTTATTTTTGTGTGGTTTTTTGTTTTTGAGACAGGGTCTCTATATGTATTCACAGTCTTCCTGCCTCAGCCTTCTGAGTGCTGGGATTACAGATGTGTATCACCATATCCAGCTCAATAGTACCTTCTTTATAGGGTTGTTAAAGCTAGAAGCACATTTTAAAGCACTTCACTTTATCTGACATAATAAGCAAACAAATATCTGTAATTACTGTTATTATAAATGGCTAATTTTATTGTTTTTATTTATTGGTGGCACTGGGGTTTAAACCCAGGGCTTCATGCTTGCTAGACAGGTGCTCTTACCGCTTCAGCCACTTCACCAGCCCAACTCTATTGTCTTTAAAATAATGGCAGCACTTTGGAAAGAAGAGATTATAACATTGTATATTATTAATGTCATGGTGATAATAATCTATGATTAGAGCTATGACAGCCTTTGATACCAAGCCACAAAATAGATATATTTTGTTTAAATAATCATACTATTAATATAAAATCCTTTGCAGTTATCTTAAATATATTCTTTCTTAGTAAATTCTTATTTTTGTCAGCTTTGGAAATAAAGCTTTATGGGTTGGTTTTTTCTTGCAATTTTTCTTCTGGTTCTCTGAATGTAAGTACATCATGGGCCATAAACTTGTTTACTACTATTCTCTTCTGGCATAATGTTCTTTCTTTATCTTTTTCAGTGCGATACATGTTTATTCAAACACAAGATACCCCAAATCCCAACAGCTTAAAATTCATACCAGGAAAGCCGGTTCTGGAGACAAGGACCATGGACTTTCCCACACCGGCTTCAGCGTTTCGCTCCCCTCTGGCTAGGTATGTTACTGTCTGTATTTGCTTTTACCAAGCATCATAAATAACTGACTTTGGGGTTGAGACAGCTTTATTTAGCTATGGCATTTTAGGGGTACTGCATTTTTTTCACTGTCGAGAACACTTTCTTTTTAGGTAAGAAATTAAGAATAACAAGAGTTGTTATTAGAAAACTTTTCTCCTGGGCTGGGGGTGTGGCTCAGTGGTAGGGCACTTGCCTAGCATGTGCAAGGCCTTGAGTCCCATCTGCAGCGCCAGGGGGAGCTTTTCTCCTGAAGTGATGTATTTGAGAACTATGTACCATGAATACATTAGAAAATTATATTTTTATTTAAGAAAAAACCCACCAAATTGATAATCACGGTAAATGACCATTCCAAATCTTTAAAACTCTGATTTTTTAAAAAAAATTATTTTTTGTCTGTCCTGGGATTTGAACTCAGGCCCTGTGGACGGCATCACTTGAGCTTCCCCTAGCCATCAAAAGTTTTGATTTTTAACAACAATGGAAACTTGTTTATTTTGTTTCTTAAGAGTAGCCAACTTTGTAGATGCTTCAAATGAAGTCGTTTCTAAAATATTTCACTCAGAACTATTAATGATAGCAGTTACCAGATGTAGCATTTTTTTTTTCTTTAACTAGTCTTTGGGGATAGTTTTGAAGTTTATCAAAGACATATTTAAATGTATGTCAGGTGGTAAAGCACAAATGAAAACATTTGTGGATGGACCTCTTTTGAACTGATAGCTGAAGACACTTTATAATAAGAAGTACTGGAGTCAATCTGTCTCAGTTGACTGGGGGTTGGGGGGTGAGGGCTGGAACCCAGAGCCTGTGCATGCTATGCACATACTCTGCCACTGAGCAGCACCCCAGCTTCAAGTAGAATTTTTGGTAACCTGATCCTGATACTCACTCCCAAGGGTATTTGGAGAATAAACCATAGATAAGGATTTCTGAAAGTCATTTCTGTGTCTCACTTAGGGAAGCCAGAGATAAAGCTCAGAAATAAGGTTTTTAGATCTCTAGTTATTAAATATGCATATTTCCTGTGTCTTAACCTACTTCTCAGAATATACCTGAGAGCATTTATTTCTCAGGCTTTTTTTTTTCTTTCTTTGTTTTCTTGGTGATATTGGGGTTTGATCTCAGGGCCCTGAACTTGCTAGGCAGGACTTGAGCCATACCTCCATCCCCCTTTTTTTTAGTTTTAGTAGGAGCTTGAGATTTTGATAGGAGGTAGCTTTGGACCATGATCCTTCTACATATGCCTCCTGTGTAGCTGGGATCATAGTCATGTATACCACTCCTGGATTATTTGTTAAGATGGGGGTGGGGATCTTGCTAATCTTTTTGCCTGGGCTGGCCTCAAACCACAATCTTCCACCTCCTGTAGCTAGAATTATAGGTGTGAGCCACTGTACCTGGGCTTTCACACTTTTTTCATATAAGCCACAATAAGAAATGTCTTACATGGTACTGCAATGCTATGCACATGTGTGTGTGTTTGTAACACTTGATATGATAATTTTTATGTTTACAATAGATAATGCATCCTTATATTTCCTTTTTTTCATTTCCTTTTGTTTCTGTTCAGTTTTTATTTTATTAAATAAAATAATAAAACCGTGGTCACTACATAATTGACTTCACAACTCTATGCCAGATTCCAAAAACATTACCTTAAAGAACATCCACACTTGTACATGAGATATGGTAGGGAAGTTTATTGTAGATTAATTGGTAATGATAGTAAGTGTAAACAACCTGAATATTCATCAATAGGAAGAATTAGGTGAACTTTGTCCATAGCCTGCAAATATTAAAAGGAATGAGGAAGAGCATATTTACTTTCCTAAGACATACATACTGTTAAAGGAAGAAAGCAAGTTATTAAATAGTGAGTACAATGTAGAAATATACACATTAAGACAAAACCCCACAAAACAACAAATGCCTGGACGATGTATACACCGAACTGATACCCAGGATTGTAGGATTTGGGAGGAGTGATTGAATTGTTTGAAATGCTTTCATCAATAATGAGTTCACATATTTTGTATTTTAAAAAATGCAAAGGGCCGGAGCTATAGCTCAGTGACAGACACTTATCTGGCACACGCGAGGCCCTGGGTATAATCCCCAGAATCACAAAAAAAAGAAAGGGAATAAAATAGCCTGTTTCTTGAATTCACAGTTTTGCATCAGTCAAGCAAACAACTTGTTGTTGCTTTAATGTGTTTGTTGCTTTAGGGAATGTTTGCTGTCAACGGAATGTGAGCTCCTGAGAACAGGCCAATCTGTCTTGCTCATCTGTTCTCCCTAGTGCCTCATACAGAGCCAAGCCCCCAGAAGTGTCCAGATACTTGCTGAATGAATGAGTAATTGATTGAATGAATAAAAAAAAGTGCTGGGCACCAGTGGCTCACACCTATATCCTAAATGCTCAGGAGGCAGAGATCAGGAGGGCCGAGGTTCAAGGCCAGCCCGGGAAAATAGCTCATGAGACCTCAAAATACTAAGACATACCTACTGCTACAACACAAAGAAGGGCTGGCAGAGGGCTAAAGTGATAGAGCGCCTGCCTAGCAAGCATGAGGCCTAGAGTTCAAATCCGAATGCCACCAAAAAAAAAGTTTTGTAGCTTACTTCAGGCAGCCTTTTAAGAGCCATCCTCACTTTTGTGTCTATTAACAGTTCATTCTTCTTTATGGTCATGTTGTGCTACATTTTGTGCATGTGCCATAGTCTGTTTATTCTTTTAACAGATGATAGACATTTTCAGGCATTGGTGGGACTATTAAAATTAAAGCTGCTAGGACTGAAGGCATGGCTCAAGTGGTAGAGCGCCTGCCTAGCAAGCATGAAGGCCTGCATTCAAACACCAGTGCCACCAAAAAAATTTGTATGAAATAAATAAAGCTGCTGTAAATATTCACGTGCAAGTCTTTGTGGAGCACCCGATTTCATTTCTTTTAGGTAAATAGCTGGTGGTGGGATTGGAGGGGAAGAAGATGAGACAAAATTGGTCATGAATGAATAATTGTTGTAGCTAGTGACAGGTACATGAAGCTTCCTTACTTTTTGCTCTACTTTTGTGTATGTTTAAGTTTTTCACAACTAAACATTTTATTACCTTTTATTTTTCTATATTCACAGGCAGTTATTTAGGATTGAAGGAGTAAAAAGTGTCTTCTTTGGACCAGATTTCATCACTGTCACAAAGGTATATACAGTATTGCATAAAATAAGACTTACACTGCCAGGCACCTGTGGTTCACACCTATAATCCTAGCTACTCAGGAGGCAGAGATCAGGAGGATCCTGGTCCAAAGCCAGCCCAGGCAAATACTTCACAAGACCCTGTCTCGAAAATACAACAGCAAAAAGGGCTGGCAGAGCGGCTCAAGTGGTAGAACGCCTGCCTAGCAAGTGTGAGGCTCTGAGTTCAAACCCCAGTACCACCAATGAACGAACGAATGAATGAATAAATAAATAAAATAGACTTGAAGTACTTGTGGGTTTTTTTGGTCCAATGCCCCTCTCCAACTTTCCATTTTTTTGAAAGGCAGGGTTTCTCTTTCGAGCTCAGGCTGGAACTCTTGATCTTCCTGGCTCAGCACTCATCCTTATTACTTTGATTATAGATGTTCACCACCATGCCCAGCTCAGAATTTCTATTGTTCATATGTTTTACACATACAGTTGTTAAAAATCTCAGATGACATTTATTCTAACATTTAGTCATTTAAGAACATTTTTAAGTTGAAATTAATTGTAGTCCACACGGCTTATTTTTCAGAAGAGAAACCTGAGTCTCAACCTTGGCAGGACTAGTACTAGGCTCCCAAGTACTCCTTTTACTGATTTTTATTCTCAGTTGATAGAATACAAAAGGGAACAAGTCTAATTTTATGAACAAAATATACAAGTACATATTTTATATAAAATAAGTTTATATAAGTGCCCACTCTCAAAGGAGAAATGTCTTCATTCTTCTGATATGTGCGGGTATAATAAATTGCATTTGTATGTGTGTACACACATCTCCCCCATCATGCAATAATACCCCTCAACTCACAGGTAGGAGCAGTGGACTGTAATGACAGCACTTGGTTAACCTCTAAGTGTCACAAAGTCAAGCTGAACTTGCCACTTGTTCCAACAACATAGTTGAGGTAGTATCTGGTAGAAAAAAGATGTTTCATTTTTAAATTTAAGATGTTTCATAGGAAATGAACTATTTAAATCTGAACTATGTGTCCTTTTAAATCTGGTAATTGTTATAAGTACACTGAGCATAAGTCACTACCCTCTATTATGTCAAAATCAAAGCATTTATGAAATTCCCCCTAAGTAGTTTTAAAGGATTACTCTGGGTTCTTGGTGTGCCTTGAAAGTGAGCACACTAGGTTTACAATGTATTACATCTAGCCCAGCAGCATACTTGTGTAACTACTCGTGTGTTTGAAGTGAGACTTTCCTCCTCAGTGGCAATCCTAGTGGCATGGATAGTCTTGTAGATATCCCACTTGTAAAATGGTTTTATTTGCTGTATAAAGTGTTCATTGTTCTGAATTCTCAGAAAGCCCTTTCTTGATCATCTTAAAATAACACTCCCTACTGGAGCTAATTATCCTGTTTTATTCTCTTTGCTAACACCACTCAGTAATATTTTATTTTTATTGCCTGTATTTCCTTTCTTCACTAGAATGTAGACTCTATGAAGATAAAGATTGTCCATCTTGTTAAGGTCACCTACAACACTGACTAGTACATACTAGGCACTAAAAGATTTTTTTTTTCAGTACTGGAGTTTGAACTCAGGGCCTTGTGCTGGCTAGGTAAGCACTCTACCACTCAAGCCATGCCCCCAGTTTTTTTTCTTTTGGTTTAGGTTATTTTTCAGAGAGGGTCTTGTGTTTTTGCTTGGGCTGGTCTTGGACCTCAGTCCTCCTACTTTTTTCTCCCTTGTAGCTGGGATTATTGTCATGCCAGGTTATATGTTGAGATGAGGGCTTGCTAACTTTTTGCTTGGGCTGCCCTTGAGCCGTAATCCTCCTGAGTAGCTGGGGTTTCAGGTATGAACCACTGCAAGATAATTTTTTTATAAAACATAACAATAATATAAAGTTTTCTAAACTAAAATTTTAGGCTTCTAATAGTTTCCTCCAAATGAAGGGTTATGGTGAACAAATTTATTTTAACTGATCCCTAACTTTCACCAATTTGTACACTCTGGTCAGTCTTTGTTCTTCAGTTCTTTCTTCCTTCCTCTCTCCCTTTCTTCCTTTTCAGTGCTGAGGATCAGGTCCAGGGCCTTGCAAGAATAATAGGCAAGTGCTGTACCACTGAACTATACCCTCTGGCCCTGATCTGCTTTCTCATCATGAACTATTTGATTTACTTGATTTCTACAGTGATCACCTATTTCCCTTTCTGATTTCTAATTGATAATTCATAGGCTTCTTTGTACAAGAGGGATTCATAGCGAAAATTCCTAATATCCTTACATTGTACGTGTTAGATTGCCCCCACCATCTCCTCCTTCCTCCCCTGCTACACTTAAAGCAATTGCAAGAGGTTTCATCATTCTGTTTCATGTATGTATAAGAAACCCATCAACCATGTTTCCTCACCTTCATCTCCCAATTTCACCATCCCCCCCCACGCCAATACCCCCCACTCTACTATTTTACAGTCCTATTCTCATTATTAATTCCAAAGTCAATATTAAAGGGGTTTCTCAATGTTTCCCAGCTGTGAGTATACTTTACTTTGGTCAGTTCTCTCCCTTAACCCTGCTTGAGACATCATGTATGTTATTTTTCTAATTCTATATGTGTATTTGCAGTTTATATGCTGCCTTTTTTTTTATTTAGACAACTTCAGAATTTTGTTTCTTTTTATCTTTTTTGGTAGTACTGGGGTTTGAACTCAATGGCTCATGCTTGCTAGGCAAGTGCTGTACCACTTCATCCATTCCTCCAACCCTTTTTTGTATTGGGTATTTTCAAAACAGTGTCTCTGAACTATTTGTCCTGACTAGCCTTGAACCGTGATCCTCCTGATGTCTGTCTCCTGGGTAGCTAGGATTACAGGTGTGAGCCACTAATGCCTGACTTTTTCTTTTTTTTTATTACCAATTTTTCTCTACTCAGTAGAGCCTACTATTTACTGAAGATCTGTGGGAGCATTCTGTTCCATGGTCCAAATAATGTATTAAGATATTGTCTGTGGTGGGTGCAGTGGCCAGGCCTGGCAGGAGGATCGCAAGCCTGGCCTACGAAGTGAAACCCTGTTTCAAAAAAGCAAAACGTGTACACACATGTGTTTTGTTGTATATCTGTATATATACACACATGTACATATATATATATATGTGTATGATATATATATATATGTGTATGATATATATAATCGGAACTAATTTCTTTTCCCAATCACTAGACATATCAACAGCTTCACGCTTGTATCCATAGCAGTGCCCACTTATCTTACCTTTCATTTACTGTCTCTAAATTGGTTCTTAATTCACAACCAGAAAGTATCCCCTTTAGTCCACGCTGACTCAGTTTTTAACAGTGTTTTTTTTTTTTTGCTGATTCCATATCTTAGCTATTTTAAGTATTGCTGCAATAAACATGGACATGCAGGTACCACTTTGGTATGTATGTTCATTTAATTTCCTTTGGTTGTATATCCAGAAGTAAATAGCTAGATCATATGGATGATCTATTTTAGGTTTTTGAGGAGCCTCCATACTGTTCTTCATGATAGCTATACTAATTTACATTCCCACTGACATTGTACAGGAATTCTTTTTCCTCCATATCCTCTCTGGCATTTTTAAAAATAATAGTCATTCTAAGTGGGGTAAGATGATATGTCATTATAGTTCTGATTTTTATTTTCCTGAAGGCTAATGATATTGAGCATTTTTCATGTTTTTTAAAATTTCCTCTTTTGAGATGTGTTTATCCAAACCATCTGCACGTTTTTAATTGGATTACTTATTTTTGTGCTGTTAAATTTTTTATTTCCATATATATATATATATATTTTTATTATTATTATTATTATTCATATGTGCACACAAGGCTTGGGTCATTTCTCCCCCCTGCCCCCACCCCCTCCCTTACCACCCACTCCGCCCCCTCCCGCTCCCCCCCTCAATACCCAGCAGAAACTATTTTGCCCTTATCTCTAATTTTGTTGTAGAGAGAGTATAAGCAATAACAGGAAGGGACAAGGGACAAGTGTTTAAGTGTCGATTCTAGACCCAGCGTCCTGGGTCTTGGCCATAATTCACAGTTTTTCCTCCTAAAGAACTTTCCTTTGAAAAAAATTAGAACAAAGTATGTTTCTTTGTTTTTCTAGGTATTTCTACTAGTTAAGTATTTCCTAATCCTATCTTTTTATTTATAGAAAGAACTAGTTAGCCAGGCACACAGATCAAACAATATGGAGTCTTCCTTAGTGATGCCAACGTTGCTGACAGCCCATAGATCCTCTAGCAGATTGGTCTTCTTTCTACAGCATCTTTGAATTTTTCAATACTCTTTAAGAAATACATGTAAATTGAATTTTTTGAATAGTTATGAAATGTCCTTTATGTTTGTTATACCCCATTTTCCTTAAGAGAGTGGGATTATCTATATTATCTTCTTTAAAGACAGAGAATCTATTCAATATTTTAACTCCCTTCGTAATATAAAATGTCATTTACTTATTTTAATTATTTTAATGCTAATAGGGCATGATACATACACTTAATAAAAGTTTGAGAGTAAATGAACAAATAACAGAATATTCTGTTGTGTCTCTGAACTCATTTTAAAAAGTCCCTCTTAAAGAGCTGGAACTGCCTTGTGTTTTCCAGAAATGAGTGCTGTGCGTAGTATAGGATGTATGCAGGAAAAGATGCTTGAAAGATACAATGGAGTGTTCTGAATTTGTCCTTGTCCTGGCCAGAAACAGAGCATTTTCCTTTGTGTGTTTCTAGGAAAATGAAGAATTAGACTGGAATTTACTGAAGCCAGATATTTATGCAACAATTATGGACTTCTTTGCATCTGGCTTGCCCCTAATTACTGAGGAGACACCTTCAGGAGAAGCAGGTAACATTGTGTTCAGTAATTAATATCTATCTTTTTTTACACTTTTCTACTTTGTTCACATTTGCATTGATTTCAGAGTGGTAAGGAATATAGATTTTATCATTTAACTTTGGAGTCAATTGCAAAGGAGACAAACTTCAGGTGTACTGTTTTACCCTTTTTGAAAATTTGTACGTAAATTTGTATCTATATAAAACTAAAATTTTCAACTATGAAAAATTATTTTTCTGTGGTGCTGGGGATCAAACCTATGGCTTTGCACATAGTTTGGCAAGTTCTCTGATGCTCGACTACATTCCCAGCCCTCAATTACGGAAATCTTTGAACATGCAGGAGATCATGTGATGGTAATAATTTGTCCTCCCCTCAGATTTACCGGGTGTTGTGTGTGTGTGTGTGTGTGTGTTGCTGAGGATCAGACAAATGCCACTGTTTGTCATAGTTGCTTTAGATCCATTTTTATGTAAATTATTAAAGATACAGCTAATGTATCTACGCTTCTATGCCTTTTTCCTTTCTACACAGATGTGTGTAAGTGTAAACTTGGTTTGTTTTTATACTAACTATGCATGTATGCCTGTAGGGAATGTATACTAATGGTTTTTGTTCTTTTGGTTGTTATTTTGCTTTTTAAGACATGGATTTGCTATGCGGCCCAGGCTGGTCTGGAACTTGCAATCCCTCTGCTTGAGTCTCTCAAGTGCTGGAATTTAGGTGTGCACCACCATGCCCAGCTTTTGGTTTTTGTTTTTAACCTTTAAATAACTTGTATTATATTATAGCTTGCCTTTTTCAGTGAGTATGATATCTTTGAAATATATCCATTTAAAAAATACAGTTCTAGTTTTTTCATTATAAGTGCTGAATAGTATTCCATTATATGAATAAACTGTAGTTAATTTTTTCTTTTATTTTTGGTTCAGTGAACTGTTTGTACTAATTTCTAGTAGATATCCTTATATAAGTCACCTTGTGTATATGTGGAATATATGGAGAGCTTTTGTAGAATACCTTCCTAGAAGTGAAATTACTGTGTCATAAGAACAAATTTACGTGTACATTAGCAGTAGATAAGAATTTCTATTTTCTATACCTTTGTTATCTCTTACTGACTCCCCTCCTCTCTCCTCCCCTCCTCTTCCCTTCCCTTTTTTTGCTGCTGGGAACCCAGGGCCTAATGCATGATCCGTGTATGCTCTGCCATTGAGACACAACCCCCTGCTCCTTTTACTCTTTTCTGTTTTTGAGACAGGGTTTCCCTTTAGCCCTGGCTGTCCTCAATTTCTGAATGTAACTCAGGCTGCCCTTGAACTCTCAATCCTCCTGCTCAGCCTCCCTGGTGCTGGGATTATAGGCAAGAGCCACTGCAACAAGTTATATATATATATATATATATATATATATATATGTATGTGTGTGTGTGTGTGTGTGTATAAATATATATATATATATCACCAATATATTCTTATACTGGCTGTACAGATAAAGAGGAGGAAAGTAAACCCATTTCATATACACCCATACTCACCTCAATCCTGTGCCTCATCTGTATTGTGAATGGGAAAACATAGGGTGGGAGGAAAAAAATATATGAGGTATAAAATGTTGTCTTGTTTTATTTCACTTCCTTTATTAATGCTGAGTCTCAAGCTTTTTATACAGATTTCATAGTTTCATAAGGTTTGCATAGTTTCCTTTCAATAAATGTCCTGTTCACGTTTGTTGCCAGTTAGAAAAATTGAGTCATGTGTCTTTTTTATATTGAGTTAAGCAGGTTTTTAAAAATGTTCTGGGTATATGGGCTGGTTGAGTAGCTTAAGTGGTAGAGCATCTGCCTAGCAAGCATGAGGCTCTGAGTTCAAACCCCAGTACCACCACCGTGCCCCGCCCCCACCAAGAAAGAAAAAAATTCTGGGTATAAATCCTTTGTTGAATAAATTCATAACACATGACTTCTTCCTAAACTTGGCTAGAGAATATACTTAGCCTGTGAGAGGTGGTTTGTTCCCCAACAAAATACACATAAATCATAACCAAAGTGAAAAAGAAAAGCCATGTTTTGTTTTGCAGTCCTGGGGATCAAACCCAACACTGGGAATCAGACTTTACCATTGAGCTACACCCCTAGCACAACAGTACTAGGGGTGTACTGGGGTTTTTTTTGGCAGTACTGGGGTTTGAACTCAGAGCCTCATACTTGCTAGCCAGGCATTCCACCATTTGAGCTACTCTGTCAGCTCCCACTATGTGTTCTTAATGGATACATACATAAAGTTAGTATCTTTTTCAGATCAATTTGACTACATCTTCCAAAATTAAAAATGTACAGAACTAGGGCTGAGGGTTTAGCTCAGTGGTAGAGCTCTTGCCTAGCATACACACAGCCCTGGGTTTGATTCTGTGCACCTCACAAGGAAGCAGAGGGAGGAAGGGAGGAGGGAAGGGAAGGAAAGAAGGAGGAGAGGGAGGGAGGGAGGAAAGGAGGAAGAAAAAGGAAGGAAGGAAAGAAAGAAAGAAATGTTTTACAGATATATGCCATGGATATATTTGCAAAAGTGCACTGATGCATGCTTGTATAAGCAAGGGTGCTTGCTCCACAGCATTAGAAATAGCAGCAAACCAAGCAACTGAAATAATCAATAAATTGGCCAAAGACCAATCCATACAAAAATGATAGCGCACCTACTTTAAAAATCTCTAGCCCTCACGTGATTATTAGATCAAGGTACTTTACTCAACTTTATTACTAAATGTTGAGTTGATCAATATTCCTTAATCCTTAATTTTTCTTTAGAGAATCCTGTGTTTCCCCCAGATCAACTATGTCACATTTCTAACAAAATTCTGTGCTTTATGTTTTAAATGAGCCATGAAGTAAAAATTACTCAGTTTTAATACTTGTGTACATACAAAGTTTTCACTGTTATTTTAAATTTATGATTGTATCTAGGTTCTGAAGAAGATGATGAAGTTGTGGCAATGATTAAAGAATTGTTAGATACTAGAATACGGTATGTGCTCCTCCCTTTACCTCAAATCAAGTGCTTCAGAGGCAGTTTTCATTATAGCAATATACTTTTACTTTCCCATGAGATTATCATAGAGTTCCAAAATAAGCACAAGTTAATATAAACCCCAGTAGGTAACTATAACAATTGAATTTATTTATTTATTTTTTTAGAATTCCAATAGTCTTTTTTAAAAAACAAAACCCCATAAACCAAAACTGCCTACCCCAACCAGCCTAGTTTAATAGGTTAGCCATTAACACAAGAATAAAATGTCACAGCCATATGTATATGTTCTTAACTCAGGATGTCATAGTGGATGGCCCAAAGTAGTGGGAACTAGCTGTAGACTAGGTGCCACACACATCACAGAAAACTGTGAGGCCAAATGCTGGCCACTGGAAATAAATAAACACGGTGCTGATGGTATCCTTTACATTAGTAAGATGTTAGGACAAAACAAAAAAGCAAAGACTTGAACAAAGATTAGACAAGGATTTGCTTTAAAAGAAAACAAACCCCAACAATTGAATTTAAATGCTTTTTGTTTTAAAAACAAAAAAGAACTTTAAACACCTGGTCTAGTTAAATAGTTAAAAAGAAATTTCTTTCACAATTTATTTTTGCTATTTCTATAATACCAAATTATTTTGGTATTTGCAAGGACTGTGAAGGGGGTGCCCGCATGCCAGGCAGCTGCCGTGAAGTGCAAGCCGACATGACTACAGAATAGCAGACTTCTACTTTTGCTTGCAGCGGACCAGGAGTCCATGTTTTAAAAAAATGATGGCATTAGAGACTGCCAGAGCAACCAAGGTTCGAGTGCTAGACCCTGGTGAGAAACAAAGCCCATTACAGCTTCCCTTGGGCCATTTGCTGATTCTTGGCATAAAGCCAGAATATAAGAATTTGGACAGAGGACAGCTGGTAAGAATCAGAGAAACCATTCAGCTTTCAGAAAATTTGTTTCGATGGGCAGACATTAAAATTCTGGGTTACCAGCAAAGTCTTAATTTGTAGGGCCCATATCCCAGAAAGCAAGGGAGTTAAGTAAACCTATGTGGTTAATAACAGTGTTACTGTAATTTTTATAGTCTTGAAAATTACTGAGAATAGATTTTAAAAGTCCTCACCACAAAATATGGTAAGTATGTGAGGCATATGTTAACTAGCTTGATTTAATAGCCATTTCACAGTGTATATATTTCAAAACATCATGTTGTACATAAGAAACACATATTTTTATTTATTAATAAAAATAACTTAAAAGAAGGAAAAGTAAACCTAACACTCAGAAGTTCTTCTCCTAAGAGACTTGCTTATTTGTAGCTGTGTAGGAGAAAAGGCTAAGTCAAACAAAAAGTAGTTGGAAAGCAAAGCAGTTTGGGCAGTTTTATAGTGCCGGGGTGGGGACAAAAATTGTAGTTTAGGATGTGTCAAGGAGGTTGGACCTCAAGAAACATCCAGGTTCTTGGAAAGCTATACCCTTGAAATGGGGTAAACCAGAGGTAGACCAAGCTTTCAGAACTGTAGTCTAATATTCAGTCACTTAATTCCAGAGTAAATTGAGCTGTTGCTATAAGATAGGCTAAATTCTTTCTGATGTAGTATAATTCTGAGTCTCCTTAGTTTTTTGTATAGTGTCTATCATTCAGTCAAAAATTATAAGGCATACCTTGAAATTGGACCAAGAGAAAATAAAATAGATCCACAGATAACAGATATAATTAGAGCTAAAATGTTCAAGAAAGTAGATGAATTTTATCAGAGAACCAGAATCAATAAGAAAAGAAGTAGTAGTTCTTTATATATATATTTTTTTATTAGGGTATATTCATTGTATAGGGGGATTCATTGTGACAGCTCGGAATAGGTTTACATTGTACATTGGTTAGATTGCCCCCACCATCTAATCCCCCCCAACCTTCTCCCCACCCCTCTTAAAACAATTGAAAGAGATTTCAGTTTTCTGTTACATACATGTACATGAAGCCCATCAACCATATTCCCTTACCTTCATCTGTTGCATTTCTTCCCCACTCCGTCCCACAAGTATCCCCACCCCAATGAATCTGTTTTACAGTCCTGTCTTTAGTTGTTCATTCCAAAGTCAGTTTTTCACAGGGGTTTCTGGTTGTATCTCTGCTGTGAATATACTTTACTTTGGTCAGTTCAATGCCTCTATCACTCTCCCTTACCCTTTCCTTCCCACTCCCTATTATTCAACAGCCTTGAATATATATCCTATGTCCTCTACCTGCACAGATGTTACGTATTCCGATATTCTTGACACTCTGTCATTCTCTTTCCCCTTCCCTCCTCCCATGAGTTCCATAGAGAACTTCCACTGTTACAGACATGTTCTGCATAAGTTTGTATATGGTCATGTTTGTTTGTTTTTGTGTATATGTTTATGTTTTGGATACGTCTTCCATATATGAGAAAAAATGTGGCCTTTGTCTTTCTGAAAGGAGTAAATTCTTGAACTAAAAATACAGTAGCTGAATTTAAGAACTCATTTGATTATTTTAACATCAAATTGGATGAAACTGAAGAGTAGATTTGTGTGTCAGAATATAGATCAATAGAAAATGGGAAAGTTGAGGAAAAAAATCAGAGATATAATATAGCAGAAAGGTCTTACACTGTCCTGAGGGATTTGAAATATATCATACTAAAATACATGGCCTGAATATGGGGGTGTAAGTGGAAGTGCTCTAAGGTCTTCTCGTTATTTGGAAAATGATAAAAGTACTAATTTATAATAGAGTCCAAGAAACTAAGTGGGTATCTGGCAGGGAAAAAGTAAGTAGGTAAAAGATTATATAACAAACAACTGAATATAGGGGAGAAATAAAATATAAATCCAAAAGAATGCAGAGAGAAAACAAATGACAAGATCGTAATATGAACCCAAATATCTTGGTAGTTACATTTAAATGTATATAGGTTGTTAACAAAAAATATGGTTAGACTGGGTGTGGAAGAACTAGCAATGTATTACTTACAAGAGATAGATACCTTAAATATAAGGACACAGAATGGTTGAAAATAAAAGGATGGAGTGATGTATAGCATTCAAAGCATGAATAAAAGAAAGTTAATACAGTTGTACAGATATCAGAAAAAGATGTGCCTTACAGCTAAAGACATTACTAGAGATAAAGAGAGCTCTTTAATAAGAAGAGGGTAATTTCTATCAGGAATACATGCTGTTCTGAAACTTACATGTACCTAATAACATAGATTCAAAATGAAGACTGACATAGTTAAGCCATGATTATAATAGGAGACTAACACTTCTCCCTCAATAACATGTAGAACAAGCACATGAAAAAATAATCAGAAAAGATATGAGAGTTTTGAACATATGATTAATAAACGTTTTTTGGGAGGTGGTACTGGGGTTTGAACTCAGGGTCTCATGCTTGCTAGGCAGCCACTCCACCCCTTGAACCACACTACCAGCTCCTTTTTATGTTGCATATTTTTGAGATAGTGTCTCGCTTTTGGCCTAGGCTGGCCTTGAGCCATAATCCTCCTGATCTCTGCTTCCCATGTAGCTAGGATTACAGGTGTGAGCCACCAGCACCTGGCTTAAATTGTTGACATATGTAGAATGTTGTACTTGATAAGAACAAAATATTCTTTACAAGTGTGTGTAAAACATGTCCTAAAACAAACTATATTGGATCATAAAGTGGTCCTTAACAAATTTCAGGGATTGAACCATTGAGAACACTGGGGGCTTGGAGGACAGAGGGTGCTGGGGATTGAAACCAGGACCTGGAGCATGCTAAGCAAATCCTCTACTACTAAAATACATCCCCACTCCAAGAATGTTGTTTTCTGACTACCATGGAATTAAGCTAGGTATCAGTAAAAGTTAGTAAAAATCTCCATATATTTAGAAGCTAAGCAGTACTCTTCAAAAAGACTGATGGAGCTAGGCACCATGGGTGGCTCATGCCTGCAATCCTACCTACTTGGGAGGCTGAGATCAGGAGGATCGCTGTTCAAGGCCAGCCCTGGCAAATAGTTCACAAGACTGCATCTCTGAGAAAAATGGACTAGAGGTGTGGCACAAGCAGCAGAATGCCTGCTTTGCAAGTGTGAAGATCTGAGTTCAAATCCCAGTTCCACCAAAAAAAAAAAAAAAAGACCTATGAGTTAGGCTGGGGATGTAGCTCAGTAGTGGTAGAGCATTTACCTAGTATGAGCAAGACCCTGAGTTTAATCTCCAGTACTGCAAAATCTAAAACAAACTAACAAAAAACCCTATTGTTGAAGAAGGAAATTTAAAATAGGGTAATATCTCCATGATCTTTGGCTAGGCAACTTCCCCTTTCCCCCCTCCACTAGGACACAAGAAAACAGATATGAGAAATCAAGGAAAAGATATAAAGTAGACTGTGGTAAAATTATGACTTCCTCATCGTCAAAAGATGCCATTTATGGTAAAAAGAGAAAACACAGAGTAGAAGATTTTATAGTGTATGTATGGAACTACAAATTGACAATAAAAAGAAAATCTGATAGGGACTGGAGCAAGTACTTTACAAAAGACAGTAGCCAAATGGCCACTAAACATATGAAAAAGTCCTCAGGCGTTTTACTCATTTTGAATATTGTAATTTAAACTACAATGGAATATCATTATAAATCCACTAGAATGGTTAAAATTATTAAGATTGACAATGCTAGTAGTGAGGTTTGTTAAGCAATAGGAACTTTCATCCACATGTAACTTTGGAAAAAATATTTGTCATTGATTACTAAATCTGAATATGTTCATACTCTTGATCCAACAATTTTGCTCTTACGCATATTCCCAGTAGATGTGCATACCTAAAGACTATCACAAGGATCTTCATAGCTACATTCTTTGTAATGGCCAAAAACTGTTGTTAACCCAAATATCTATCCACCAACAGAATGGATAATAAATCCTGGCATTTTAACTTAGGGTGATACCATGTGATAGTGAATGAACTGTAGTCATACTCAACACGAATGAGTCTTAAAAAGAAACCAGATACAGAAGAGTAAATACTGTGTGATTTTAAAACAGGATTTATGTTTATAAATTGTAAAATGAATTTTATAAAGCGGGCAAAGCTAATCAGTGGCAATAGAAATTAGGATATGGGAAGAAATACATTTGTAAGGCTTTGTTGTTTTTAATGCTGATATCTCAAAGTTATTCTTAGAGTAAAATAAAAGGTGTTCCTTGTGTTCAGAAAAAAAGAAATTAGGATAATGGTTACACTTGTTTAGGAGAATGGTTAGATAGAAGTAAAGGGTAACTCTGGGGTGCCACTACTCTGTTTCTCAGTATGAGCGATAATTACAAATGTAATTGTGAAAATATGTATATACAATTTATGCATTTTTCTGTGTTGTTATATTTCAATGAAAAGTTTGCCTGGAAAAAAAAAAAGAGAGAAGTTATCATTTGTCAATCTCCCTCTTCCTTTGTCAAATAAGTGAATAAGTATATCTTAGATTGTCAAAGTAATTATTAGCAATTGGAAATTTTAAATGCTTGAAAACATTATTAATAAGCAAGATGAAATATAATAAGTAAATACTTGTATGAATGAATTGTGGCATTTTATTTGAAAGTTAAAAAATTTAAATTACAAACAAGAGCCCAGTTACTGTTCTCTATTGTACTAGTAACTCGATTTTGTGAGTTTATCAATATAAAATCTAAGCTTTGAGCTGTATTAAATTTTTCATTGAAAATTTCTATTGTTTGAAATGTATCCCAAACATTCTGTGGCTACAGGCCGACTGTGCAGGAAGATGGAGGAGATGTAATCTACAAAGGCTTTGAAGATGGCATTGTACAGCTGAAACTCCAAGGTTCTTGTACCAGCTGCCCCAGTTCAATCATTACTCTGAAAAATGGGATTCAGAACATGCTACAGTTTTATATTCCAGAAGTAGAAGGTGTAGAACAGGTATGACAATACTGTGACAGTTTGTATTTAATAGTAAGATAAATGAAAAGAAATTTATGACCTGACTTTTTCACCAAGGGAAAGATCTTTGTTTCGTCACTTTATCAGACTTGAAGCCTCTTTATTGTAGAAGTAACTTTAGTGTTGTGACTGCCTAGAATATCTGTCTTTGTGTCTCTCCTGGGAATCTTACCCAGGCCCTCAGATATACTAGGCAAGTGCTCTACCACTGAATATATCCTCAGCCCTTTTTGTCCCTAGTCACATAGGCAAAGAACTCATAGAGGAATCATGCTTTGTTGTACAGCGAAACGGAGAACTTAGTAGGGCTATAGTTTTATTTACAGCATGTCAGATTTTTTTCCTGTCCCAACATATGTAAAGAATACAGCACAGCACTTTCTTACCAGTCATAGTGACTCTCACTGCAGTGATTCTCAGCCATGAGGCATGGCCTAATGAGAGAGGTTGTCAAGGAGGGAAAGGAATATGTAGAAATGAGAAATTTGAGAAAACTCCTTAAGTAATTCTGTACCCTTAAAGAGAGGGCATCTCCTTCCAGCTCCTTTGCAAATCACTTAACGCTGAATAGTATTAAAATCCATCTTTTTGATCCAAAATATACCAATTTCTCTTTGAAGATCTTATCAGTCTTCTGCATGAAAGTAAACTGTACTTTTGTACAAAGCTTATTTTTGTGTGTCTGTTTTAGTGTTATGTTTACTCATAACTCCCTGAAAGACTTGAAATTATATCTAAGCCTTTGTATTTCTCTGTAACAACTAATCCTATGTCTTACAAATATCCTTTACATAGTTTGTATTAAATAAGTATTTGGGGATTCTTATTCCATATTTAGGAATATTTCTGTATAAAACAGGAGGTCATTTACAAACTTCTTTGAATTGGATGTTGCTGAAATTGGATTTTACATATTAATTCCTTGCAAGTAAAATACCCATTTTTACTCAATCCAAAAGAGAATATATGAGAGAATTCTTTTTCTATTGATTGACTCTGTTCAGAACAAAATTCATCTATATTTTAATAGCCATTTACTTTTTTTTTTTTTTTTTCCAAGATGGGATTTTGCTAAGTCGCCCAGGCTGGTCTTCAATTCTTGGGCTCCAAGTGATCCCTCCGCTTCAGCCTCCCAAATAGCTGGGACTTCTGTGCCACCATGCCTGGCTTATCTAGATTTTTTAAAACTTATTTTTGTTTTATTATCCCCCATATGCCTTTTTAAAAAGATTGCATTAGTTGACACTTCGATGGATTAACAAAAAGGGAAACATTTCTTTTTACTTGTCTAGGGTGGAATAATTAATTTGGACTTTATCTTGTTTACTGTTTTTTTTTTTTTCCCAGCATTGAGGTTTGAACTCAGGGCCCTATGCAAGCACTCTACCACTGAGCCACTCCAGAGGAATAGTGTTCATGATTTTCTCTACTTTCTTTTCTTTTTTGATGGTGCCAGGGTTTGAACTCAGGGCTTCACCCTTGCTAGGCAGGCAATCTACCACTTGAGCCATGCCTCCTGCCCATACTGTTTGATTATAAACATGAATTGCCATTTAATTGTAGTAGTGTGGTGAGGAGAAAAAAACATTCACAGGTTTATATAACTCTTCCTTTGTATAAAAGTATCTGAGTAATATATTAACTCATGGAAAGATTAACCTTTTCTTTTTTTTTTTTTGCAGTACTGGGGTTTGAACTCAGGGCCTATACCTTGAGCCACTCCACCAGCCCTTTTTGTTCAAAACAGGGTCTTGCGAACTATTTGTCCTGGGCTGGTTTCAAACCACAATCCTCCTGATCTCTGCCTCCTGAATAGCTAGGATTACAGGCGTGAGCCATTGGTGCCCAGCTTACCTTTTCATCTTTTTTAAGTATTCATTTTTATTTTTTTCTTCCCTGAAAATCTTCATACTTTTTAAGATTTAAAATTATTTTTTATTTGAATAACACCAAAATAATTAGCTGATAATATGATATTTGGTTTTGATTTAATTTGATTTTTTCTTACTTTTTTTGTTATGTTTTTCTGAGAAAAAATATTTACAGTAGTTTGCTTTACCTGTACAGAATATATTCAAGTAGAATATTGAAAATGCTTTTGAAACAAAAGCATACAAACTTACTCATGTCAGTCTTATGACTAGAGAATAATAGTTACTCATTTATAGTTTTCTTTGCCCAGATGAGATTTGCTACTGGAAGCCTCTTTTGAGACAAGGAACAGAGACCAGACTTCTAATTATTTCGCACATTTTGCTTTTACTTTCTTGGGGCACCAGTTTATAATTCAAACTCGTGCCTTGGGGCTGTTGATAGATTTATTCTTATTGGATTGCCGTGCACTGTTATAGACTATTTCATGTAGGCAAGTAATATTAAAATAAAGAAAAGTGCAGTTTCTAGTCTTTTTCTTGATTTTTAAATTTTCTTTTTTGTTTGTTTGTTTTTTGATTTTAGGTAATGGACGATGAATCAGATGAAAAAGAAGCAAACTCACCTTAAAATAATCTGGAGTTTGAGGTTGTGGGGGGCACAACAGTTGGACTTATTGATAACATATACCAAGCTTTTATTATTAATATACTAAGAAACTTGAAGATTAATAAAATATTTCCTTTCCTCAGAGAATTATATATAAATATTGCATTTTGCTTCACCTCATATGAGTTATTTATAACATCCTGAGTCATCTTCTGTACACATGGATTTTATCCAAGGATATTTTTATTTTTGTTCCTTGTTTCTTCTGGTGTCTTCTTTGCATAGTCTTTAAAGCAATTTACAATATATTTCCCCTATCTAATTTAATTGTTCTTTTTTAAATATAGAAGTAAATAGGGATAATGCTTTTTAAAATATTCTAAAATGGCTTAGTTTTTTGGGAGATAGCTAAAAAATTTTTTTACTAAAGTATTTAGCTTATTTTTTTTTAAAAGTTAAACAGTTCTAGTTTAAAAGTGGTATCTTGCTAAGTAGTACCTAATATAATAGCACAATAACCTTCTCATAGGGAGACAAATAAAAAATGGTTTTTTGAAATAGGGTCTCTCTTCTGTAGCCCAGGCTGTCCTCAAACTCATGATCCTTGTGCCTCAGCCTACTAAGTGCTATGATTACAGGTATGTACCACTGAGCCTGGCCTAGAAAAAATTTTTAAATAAAAAAAATTTTAAGTTGCAATGCTATCTAGGCATGGTGGTACATAGCACTAATCCCAGCATTTGGGTGGCTAAGGCTGGTGTATCAAGAGTTTGAGGCCAGCCTGGGCTACTACTGAGAGAGACCCTGTCTTTAAAAACAGCCATAATTCTATGGTGTGGGGAAATAGCTCAGTGGCAGTGGTAGAGCATTTGCCTACCATGTGCGAGACTCTAGGTTTGATTCTAGCCCCACAAAAAAAGAAAGAAGAAAAATATTTGTAATGCTAAAAACTCAAGGGCTATGTCCAGAATGTGGACACAATTTCAATTGGTTATAAAACAGAGCTGGATTGAGAAAACTGCCTCAGCCTGCTGAAGCATCACCTTGTGAATCAGAATCTCTGAAAAAAAGATGAAAAGCTGCTTTGGTCTTTCTTCCACTGGTTTCTCCTGATTCAGAGATCCATAAATTCAAAAAAATTAAAAGTTGCTTCAGTTGACACTTATTTCTATCATGCCAGAAATTTGAAGCTATCCTTCTACCATAGAGGTACTGCTTTTTCAGATGTCCCAAATAGCATATCAGCCTTCTTTAAATTTTTTCTATGGTAATTCAGAGATAGCAAGTTCACAGAAAATACCAGGAAAGGAAAGATGGAAAAACAGAAGTGATGCCTTGCATCCCTGGAATTCTAGCCCTCAGAAGCACAGAGATAGAGATCGAAATGGGAAGAACTCCAACAGCTGTAAATGTTGGGAATTGAAGTTTTTATTTTTGCCCTTTGGTTCACAGAATCAGGCAGTGGACTGGAGAATTTGTTTCTTAAGCATTTCCCTAGGAATTATTTTGTGAGCTGTCCTATTTAACCTACCCTTTATTTGAGGCTACAGGAAATTGAGATTCTAGAAGAAATGTAATTAGTGAATCTTGTAATTAATGTTCTAAAATAAATGGCTGAGGTAGGTAGAGGATTACACTTTAGAAGAGAAGAAATCATGAAACTGGGAGGCCAAGGTATGGGAAAGATTTCCTACACAAGGGAGCAGCCATGGAAAACAAGGAGGAAAGGTAGGGGAAGCATATTCTAGGCATAAGGGGCAGTGCAGTCACAAAGATAAGAAATGTATTTGGTAGCTGTGAGAAGCTATTTATGGCTGAAGTGCAAAGTGGATGTCTTTAGCTGGAAATGGGCAGATACAGAGTGCTGTAGAAACTCCTGGCTGACTGCTCCCTCACCCTCAACTACCACTTGATAAAAGGCCCTTTTAGTTCCCTTTGTTAGCAGTGAGCTCAGGGAAGGGAGGTCCCACCTCAGTCCCAGGGAGTAATTTATAACTAGTCTAATCTAGTCTTTTTTTACCCATTTCTCCTTGCCAGTCATTAGTCTAGGAGTTGATCTGTGACCCAGCCCTGGCCAGTGAGCCATAAGTTGAGACATTCTGTTGTAGAGTTCTGGGAAATGTTCCTTCCTTAATTGAGAGAGCGTTTATCTCTGGAAAGAAGGCTGTTTTTCTTTCCTTCCTGCTTGGTACAGTGTCCTGTGGGATCCCCAAAGCAATAATGGTCAACTTGTAATCATAACAAACCAAAAACCAGTTCATTAAGAATGGCAAGGAGGAAAGAAAGGGCCTAGATCCTTGAGCCAACCCAGGAACCCTCACCTTCAGAGTTTTTAATCAGGTGAGATAAATGTTTTTCTTGTTTTAACCACTGTTATTAGAGATTCTGTGGTTGATTACATTCTAACAGACTGTTAATCATAGAGGACTTGGTAAATAATTTTACTGTTTATTTTTTTTCGCAAAATGATTATGACAAATTTTGAAATGAAACAAATTAACATGTATTTTTAATTAACTTATAAAGTATAGTTTAATCAAATAATAGTTTTTTATTTTTGGATGTTTAAATTATAATTAATTTCCTCCTATATGATCCCAAAGGAAGAAAATAATTCATTTTTATTGTGTTTAGCTAAAACAAAAATAGAAATTACCCCTCCCCAAAATGTATGTAATATTTTTACATGAAATATTCTTTAAAATGCCTTATAAATGTATGATATTTCTAGGGTGTGGATCTCTGGTAGAGTGCTTGCTCAGCAGGCACAAGGCCCTGGGCTCAATCCCCAGCACTACAAAATAAATAAATAGGTATTTGAAAATAAGATTATTGGTCAAGAGTAAGCCAAGCACTTGGATTTTTCACCTATTAAAGCTAAGATAAAGCCCAATTTAAAATGATAAGGTCATATGGGAGCAAAATATTTAAAATAGCATACTTTCACTGAGTATTGGCTGTGTGACAAACAGTATTCTAAGCGCTTTATATTTATGAAATTATTTAATACTAAGGTAGGTAACTGCTTTTGTCCTTATTTCTATAGATGGAATGGTAGAGGTACATTTTCCACTGCCATGTATCTTAAGTGGAAAAGCCAGGAACAGGAACCCTGGCATTCCGACTGCAGGCAGGGCCTGTGCACGTTGCTCCCACAATCCTTACATTGTGGTAAAGGTTCTTGGCCCGCATACCCTTCCTGCATATTCTTACCTCAGGAAGGAGAGATACTTTCCAAGCCTTCATAGCTGCTAAGTAGTGGGCAAGAAACATTTTCAACTCTTTCACTTAATCTAGAACTACACTAGGCCAAAACAGTAGTATTGCTTATATGTCTGTTTTTTAAATTCAGGAATATGAAGCTGCCTACTCTCAGTCCAGTGGAAATCTACATCCCTTTGGAAAACTCCAGCATTATACTCCATTTCCTCATATCAAGAGTTACTTGCAATAACTCTACAGAGGCTTACAGCTATCCAGAAACAACTTTTGCCTCCTCTGAAACTCTAGAAAATAGTACTTTTCTGCCTCCTTACATTTCTGGTGATCTTTCAGCTCCAAGCAGCTCCTTGAATGATCCACCCCTAATGCTGACTCTAATACATCCTACAGGACAGAAATAGGAAGTTAAATATAGGACCAGTTAATCTCATGGTTTTCACTTTGTTGACTTTCTTGGCAGTAGAATGAGTTTTTTTTTCTAGCAGAGTTAGAAATCTCTGCTCCAATTTCTGCCTACTGGTAAAATTTGGAACCACTCAGAGAGTATTAGGGAGAGAGTACTACTTCTAGTTGGAGTTAGCATCCTTTGTCCTTAAAGTTTATGGGAGGGAAGCAGGCCGTGTTCACCTGATACAGTGGACATCTTTCATTTGTGTCTTTTGTTCCTTCTTCATTCTTTTAGCAACACTTTCCCCTTTCCTTTGAAAAATGGAGCTTTCCAGTCACAGTGTTCCACCTTCTTTGTCACAGGAGTGGGGCATATGACTCACACTGGACTAGAATCCTCCCCTAGAATATAAGATGCAAGTATGAAGGAAGAGTTTCTCTCCTTGGATTGCAAGCTATGAACATGTGATTCCACAGCTGTTGGAGGGTCCTTTCCCTGTCCATGAGGTCAGAGAGATGAAAAAGTTCTAACAACATTGATTGTATTCCTGGACATAGATATGACTAAAGGTGTTTATATCACTGACCTTTCCAATTACATTAGCTAATAAATCCTCTTCATCTATTTTGAGTGAAATGTTATTGTTTGTCATTGAAATGAATGGACTAGTGTGTTATCTTGTGAGAACAAGGCAGTCATAATCACTGCCAGCTAAATTATGACAAGTTTGGAGATTTGATATACTACTAAAAACAATTGTGACTGTGTATTGTAGACTGTGCCAGCTAAAGTACACTTTCTGGTGGTCCTCATCAATAGGGACATAGAAAAAGTCACTTGTCAGATCAGTAGCTACATATTGGGTATTGTTAATTTATTTAAGCAATGAGATCACATTTGGTAGAGCAGCTGCAATTGGAGTCTCCACCTGGTTAAGCTTACAATGATCCATTTTCATTCTCTCAGATCTATTAGTCTTCTGCACAAGCCAAATAGGAGTCACCACCTCTGGGTTCTTCTAGTCCTTCATGGTGGCACTAATCTTTGTAATCCCTCCAGAAATGTAGTCTTGTTTTTGGTTTACCATTTTTTTAGGAATGTGCAGTTCTAGTGGTTTCCCCTTGGTCTTTCCATCATAATTCTTACTCCCCAGGTCAGGGAACTAAGTGGGGATTGTGGCAGATACTGGGTATGTCTGTTCCAATTATGCATTCTGTAACTGGAGAATTATGGGAGCCACTAGCCCACTCATTGATCACTTAGCCTCCATATGCCTTGCTGGTGGACCACAGTGACATTTTGGGTCACTTAGAATTCATGTCAGTTCAGAGCCAGTGTCTGGTAGACCCCAAAAGATGTATTTTTCCTCAGTACACAGTTACCCTGATAAAAGACCATTGATCCTTTTAGGGAAGGCTAGAAGAAATAATAATTTCTGGCAGTATGCAGGGTCCTTCCTCAAGGGAACTCATGTTTTCCTTCATTTAAAAGGTTTCTGAGTCTGTAAACTATCTTATGTTTGGGAATTATTGAGGGGTCATGAGGGGTTTTGGCGTCTTTTTTTGTTTTTGAGGTAGGGTATTACTATATAGTCCAGGCAGGCCTCAAACTTTGAATCCTCCTTCAGATTCCTAAATGCTGGGATTACAGGAATGCCCCACTGCTCCCAGCTCATGATTATTTTTATGATTCAAGTTAGACTTTAACTCACTTGACCTAGAACTTTCCTGCTTATACATTCTAATTACAAATTTAGTAGGTGTCCTATCTATTTCACTTCTAGGAACACTGTGATTAGCCAATACCATATGTCTGTACGGATCAGATAATTCTGATTGCTGCTTTGATTCTCTTGCCCATTATGGTGAGCATGCCCTCCTTGCCTTTGGTAGTTGAGTGCTGCCGCCTGTCCCCTGCCTCCCTGGGATCCAGTTACTTCCCTTGCATTTAGGGGGCAGCAGTTCGCATTAAGCTTTGATTACGGAGAAGAATGATCACAGAGCTGTTCAAGGATGCTGAGTGCTCCTCTAAAATATATTTTCCACAGTTGTTGAGAGGTGTGTCTTCTGAACCTCCCAGGCTAAGTGAGTGAATCTTTAATAAGAAATTAACTGTAACATTCCAATATCCCTAAGCTTTTGAGTCCTTTCCTCGATAGTAAGCCAAAGCAGGTGTAGAATTTTGAGGTCACTTACTATGGGCCACCTTTTGGTTCATGTTTCAAATGAGCAACCATTTAAAGCAAACTATTAACTCCCTGAGCAGCAACATTAGATGCAGAATCTCTGCTTTGGGTCCATGTCAAGAAATTTGGCCTGATCCAACTTTATGTTCCTGTCAAATATATCACCCACCCTTAATATTCATTCTCATACATCAGGGTCTTCCCACATGTTCCCAACTGTAATTCAGGATTCCATTCCTTTCCAATCAGTCCATTAGACATCTATAAGGCTGGGTGTTCAATATGCAGTTTAATCTGTGTTGTAATAAAGTCACTAGCAGGATGAGATTTTGAGTGTGTTTTTTACCAATCTCAGCCCTATTACTATAGGAGATAAGAGTCTTTTTCAGGGAGGAATCGACACTTTCGGGTCAATTATGTGTCGGGGAATTTAGATCCCTAAATTCATCCTTTCTCTTCCCACTTAAAGCATTAGGAGCAACCAGTCAATCTCATTATACTGTGCCCCTGAGTCTGACAACAGTCTTTGATAGTGTCACACACATGGTTATCCAGATTCTTGCCTTGTGTGAGCATTTGATTAGGAGTATCCAACAGTGATTTTGTGTATCTCTTACTACAGCACACTATGGATTATCCATGTTCTCTTTTCTTACCAAGGGAGAGAGAGTCACTAGTGTCATTAAATATAATTGGATTAGAAAGCCAATTCCAGAAACCCCAGAACCAGTTTAGAATACCGATCCTTAAGGTTTCATTCCACTAGAACCACTCTCAGTATTGAAATCTGGATTAGGATTTTCCAGAGAAATAGAGCTGATAGGATGTATACATATCCTGTCCTGTGTATACACAGTAGTCCTGGTTGATAACTTCAGTTACCTGCCTCATTTGACATTGTCATGGCTTCATGAGCTCCTCCGACATATGTCAGAAGATTAATGGTAGCCTTATGCTCTATCACAATGCCTGCATCATTCAGCTCACTTCATCTCATTATGTAGGCATTTTATCATCTCATATCATTATGACACAGGTGAGCACAGTACAATATGACATTAGAGAGGGCGAGAGGGAGGTGTAGTCACTTTTATTACAACATACTATAATTGTTATATTTTATTAATATAAAATATAATTACTGTTATAACTGAAACTTTATTATAGTTATGTATAGGACAAAAACATAACATATATAGGTTTAGAGCTGTCTATGCTTTCAGGCATCCACAAGGAGTCTGGAAATGTAGTCCCCTCTTATCCAAGGGATATATATATATACACATACACACATACACAGCCATGTGCTACATAGTGACATTTTGGTCAATGAGGTACTGTACTGCATATACAATGGTGGTCCCATAATATAATAGAGCTGAAAAATTCCTATTACCTAGCAACATTGTAGCTGTCATAATGCCATTACTCATATATTTGTGGTGGTGTTATTATAAACCTACTGAATTACCAGTTTTATCAAAGTATAGCACATACAATCAGGTACTGTTCATTATTTTATGGTGCTGGGAATTGAACTCAGTGCCTTGTGTATGCTAAGCACATACTCTATCATTGAGCTCAGTCACATACATATTTGATAATAAATGACTTATTAGTTTATTTACTATACTTTTTATCATTGTTTTGTATTGTGCTCCTTTTACTTATATAAAAAAGTTTGCACCAAGAGGCCATATTAGGTGATTGACCTATACCATCTAGATTGTTATGTTTGCACAATGACAGATTTGCCTAACAATAAATTTCTCAGAAGATATCCCTGTCATTAGGTGACCCATATGACTGTATTGATATGTGCAGATAGATAAATATTGATCGATTGATTTTAAGGAACTGGCTCATGCAGTTATGAAAACTGGTAAGTCCAAAATCTGCAGTGTGGGCTATCAGGTTGGAGGTGCAGGGAAGAGCCAATGCTGCATGTTGCAGTTCAAACCCAAAGGCTGTATATTGACAGATTTTATTCTTGCTTCTGAGAGGTCAGACGTTTATTCCAGTCAAGCCTTCAACTGATGGATGAGGTCTACCAACATTACATAGGGCAATCTGCTTTACTCAGAACCCACCAATTTAAATGTTAAGATCATCCAAAAATTCTCTCCCAGAGATGCCTAAAATAGTATTTGACCAACTATCTGGACATAGTGGCCCAGCTAAGTTGATACTATTCCATTGTGTAAGGTTTGCTTTCATCATCCATTTCTGAGCCCTTCTTCCATATCTTGGCTGCCTCTTTATCTCACCATGCTCAATTCCTCATGCTCTTATAGTGCACCTTCCTGGCCCACTGTCATTCACCAAGGCAGTATATTCAGGTCTGCCTTCCTCCTGATTTTAGAAATATCTTTATCTTATCCCCATCAAAATTCCCATTCGCTAGTGATATTTTCACAATTGTTACCCAAATAAAAAGTAACCCTATAAGCAGTCTCTACAATTAAACTATTTAAAATGTTCATACTTGATAATTATTTGGGGGGAGATGTGCATTAAATGTATATTTACTGATTGAGTTTAGAAATGTGATGGTAGGGAGTGGAAGTCATTTTTCACAAGGGAATTTTCTGGTCCCTTTATATCCATTTTGTGGGTGGCTATCTAGTCCTTTTTTCATTATGCCCCAACCATTTAACACCAGTTTCCCTTTGTTTACTTTTCAGAGTTAAAGTTGATTTTTTTTTTCCAGTGGTGGAGATTGAATCCAGGGCCTTGTACATGCTAAGCAGGTGCTGTACCACTGAGCTATATGTCCAACCCATGGAATTCAGCTTTTTATTGAACATATTATGAAAGAGGTTTAGTCAAGAAGACCAAAACCCATGTCACCATCAGACTCCTCAGATTCCTCTCTTTGCTTCTCCTTCTCAGCTAGACCAGCAGTGGTGGAGGAGACAGGACCTTTTGCTGGTGCTGCACCAGCTGCTAGAGCAGATCTGCCAGCCCCTACATTGCAGGTGAGGCTCCACATGTTGACATTGGCCTTTGCAAACAAGTCAGGCTGAAGAAATGCAACATTTACATCAGACACCTTAATAAGGACATTGATCTTATCCTCTGTGATGGTCACCTCATTGTCATGTAAGATGAAGGCATAGTAGGTGCTGGTGAGCTCAGAGACAGAGACCATGGTGAGGACAAGTATAGGCTGGCACTGCCCAGCATGGTGGTAGGTACCTGATGAAACTATGGTTATTTGGTTCTTTAGAAATGGCAACTGGAAGCCCTGAGGGCCTTCAGCCCATTGGGCTGCATATCAAGTGATATGTTTTCACTGAGAACCACCAGATCTGATGGGCCTAAATATATGAACAGAGAAGGGGACTTATATAAAAGAGGGTGAACAAGACCCTCTTTCATTCTTTCTTCTTTCCTTCATTTCTTCCTTCTTTTTCATTTGTTAAGTCTGTTCAGAATTTGATTAAGCTAGAAAATCCTTTCCTTTGGATGTTCAAATTAGGCCCAGATGTTGCCTTTACTTCATAGACCATTTATTTTCTCCTCCAGGCCTTATTTTCAGTGGCCCAGCTGAGGCAGAACTCTATTTGAACGAGGGTCAGACAAAGTTCTTCCCTGTCATTATCTTGACTAGCACAAGGTTACAAAGAGTTCTTTGTTGTGGTGGTTAGTGAGTGTTCAAGGCTGGGCTGGGAAAATATTGACCTTTAAATTTTCTTCTTTTCAGTTGGTGCATAAGCATCTTCCAAAATAGCTGTAGGATGGAGATGGCTAAGACAACTGAACTGTCATTGTGAGGGAGCAGAAGGTGGAAGAGGAGAGCAAGGGGTTCAATCATTTATTATAGTTGGACCAAGAGCACTTTGGTGGTACTGCTAGCATTTTCTTTGTGGTAAACAGGTTTGCTGCCACTGAATAAAGGTATTGTGTAAGCATTGGAACCCCATCTAAATTCCTGGGCAATATCACCCAGGTCTGACCAGAATCTCTTAGATGAGGGTTGTTAGACTATGTAAGATGTGTACCCACAGAGACAATTGTTTTTTGAATTAAGAAATGTATTGCTTATTAACAAACAGTTCAGCTGGGCGCCAGTGGTTCACACCTGTAATCCTAGCTACTTGGGAGGCTGAGATGGAGAAGATTGCGGTCTGAGGCCAGCCTGGGCAAATAGTTCTGAGACACAATCTCAAAAAATAACCAGAGCAAAGTGGACTGGAGGTATGGCTCAAGTGGTAGAGCACCTGCTTTACGAGCACCTGCTTTGCAAGCACAAAGCTAAATTCAAACCCCAGTCCCACCAAAAACAAAACAAACAACCTGTTTTTTGTTTGTTTTTAAAACATTGCTCAGGGTCTAGAGACCTGGTTAAGAGCTTGAAGTAACAAAGGGCTTTACTCAAAAACTTACATCTTCCGGCCTCTATGAGGCAAATGATAAAAACCCATTTTCTTCACTAAGAAAAATTTCAAAGTCCTTTGTTCATTTGCTCCTATAACCAGTCATAGAAGGTTAATTCTGCTAAGATATGATCTGCCCCCCGCTTCATCAAAAAACGGTTTTGAGTCTTTACTTTTGGCTAAGGTCTAAACTAGGTGTTGATTATATGAAGAAACTTTCTATCCATGAGAAACTTACAGCTTAGTGGGCAGATATAAAGCTCATGAAATACAGAAACATTTTGCACTAAAGGAAGCAGCTCAAAGAATAAGAAGCTAAGGAGCAGCTCTAAGCCTGTGGGAGACAAAAAGGATGTTCAGAAAAGAAAAGGTAGCATTTAATCAGATGGGGTGGGCCTCTATTGAGAGAAACTAAAATGCACAAAAGATTTGAGAATTTTGGCTTAGTAAGAGAAATACTGTGCCGCCTTACTGAAGTGTTAAGCTGGAAGGTGAGGTAGGAAGAGAGCACTAGGATGAGGTAAGACTAGACAGATACCTCAACAGGGTTAGAATTTCTGTGGGTTATAGATAGTCTTGACTATCTACATTTGACTAAAGATACGATTTATGTCTTCCTGAAGCAAATGCCCAGGTAATAATTTCTCAGAAACATCATTCCTCTCTCATCAAGTCTCTCTTGGCAGGAACGGTGCATTAATTCATAGAATTAATCGCTCAGGAGTGAAACACGCTGACAGGAAATTTCCAGTCCTCCAGGTGGCCATCGGAGGCGGGCCTGGAGTTTTGAAGCCCGGGTGCAGAGTTGGGATAGTTCAGCCTTCCAACCCTCCGCTTCCTCTCTGCAATAAACCTAGGACTAGGGAGGAAGGGAGGGGGTGCGAAGGCCACCGCCGAGACCTAGCACGTTACATAGAGCTCAGTGGGGAGCTGAATGGCCTGTCACCGGGAAGACTGGTCCGAATGGCGCTTTGCAGTGAAGAATTCTGGTACCCCTCTCCCCTCACCTCAACCAGTTTTCAGTTTTTCCTCAGCCTTGTGTTCCTTTTGCACCCTGCCTTGTTTGTCCCCCACGATCTCCTTTGCAAGCCTCGTGGTTTCTTCCTTCTTTTCCCGCTTCTGGCACGCCGAAGGTCGGGTCTGGGCGTGCTGTTTGTTTTGCTAACATTTCCATCCTCCTCTTTCCGTCTTTCTCTGCCAGGCGCGGAGTTTTTCCTCCCCCACGGTCTGGTGGATCCCGAGGCTCGCCCTGAGGCGGGCGGCTCCAGGAACCTTAGGCGGATGCAACCACCAGCCGCTGCCACGTCTCCGCCGCCAGCAGTCCAGCGCTTGCGTAGACCTGAGAGGGGGCGGGGCGGCGCGGGGAGGCGGGACCTACTCCGTGAGCGGCGCGGACGCAGCCCAATAGGACGAGCCCGCGGCGGCGCGCTGCACGCCGGGGGGCGGGGCCCGGCGGCGGTTGCTGGCCAAGCTGGGGAGGCGGAGAAGACTGTCGTTGCCTGAGCCGTCGCATCCCGAGGGAGTCGTGCCGCTGCCACCCGGGCTCCGGAGCTCTCCCGTCGCCCCTACGTCGCCCCCAGGCTCGTGTGTACACGCCGGATCTCGCCAGTCGCTCAAACCTCGCCGCGCGGGCCGCGCCTCCAGCATTATGTGCGGTAAGGGGCCGCGGGCTGGGGGCGTATTGGGGGGCGGTCCTGGGGTGCGGTGCCGGCGCCGCTGAGGCCCGGGGTGCGGGGCGGCCAAGTCCGCGTGACGAGCAGGGGGCGTCCTGTGGCGGCTGTGACTTGGCTGCCGGGGGCGGGAGCGCAGGTCGTGGTCCCAAGCAGGACACCTGAGAAGTGGTGGTCCCCAGAGGGCCGAAGGGGGCGCCTTCGCGTAGAGGAGGAACCCGGAGGGGGATAAATGCCTGTATGTGAAAAGGAGGTGCGGAGAGGTGCCTTCAAAATGGGCTACCAGGTGAGTGAGCCTACCTGTGGAACATCAGTGGCATCTCTTGATTCACCTTGCATTAAAAAAAAAAAAGTTAATAATCGCTTTCTTTCTGGCAGGCCCAATAGAACTCTAGATAGAGCTCCGGCAGTGGTATTACAAGGATCTTACTTCCTGCCGCTCCCTGTCTTGACAGAAACCATTACTAATCGATAACTTGATGAAGTGGGCTTATGCCTTGGTGGAAGAGGCCGAGAAATGCCCCTGGCGATAGATCACACGTACCACTTGCATGTCCTCTACTCCCATTTAAAACACTAGCTATGAGTAATATCGGCTATCACTTGCATGTGCACTATTAAAATAACAGCTGAAAATAAAACTAGGGCCTTATCTTCCACGCTTTCAGAGTTATTTTATTACCTAAAAGTGTTACTGAAAGTGATCGAGAGGATTATGTCTGACATAACTGATGATATCTTAAAATTAGGATTAACCTAGCCATTGTCAATAAAAAGAATTCTTACTTTTCTTTTTGAAATTTACAATTGACGTCACCTCTAGAAGAAAGAAGACTTTTTAAAGAGAGGTATGATTGTAATAGAATTGAAGCTGTTTGGTAAACTTATTCTTCAATTGGCCTTTTGCATGAAGGAACTGGGTAGGATTGTACTGGCTAGTTTATAGTTCTCTTGTATTTATGTTCATTTCAGCTTCTGAAAATGAGGAGCAGGTTTAAATCTAGATTAGATTTTAAAAATCCACATAAAAACAGAAACACCTATAAATAACTTACTGAAATTACTAGAGTAGAGCTGACTTCACAATTAGTTATACTTTTGCTGTGTCTAATTAGTAGAATGGTTTTTGCAAAACCCATAATTTAGTTTGGAGCTGTGAAGTAGTGAATTTTCAAAACCTGTTAACCACCAGTGTGCTTCATTCAGTAATTAACTGTATTTGAATGATTAGTTGTGTGCATAGTCAAGTACCTGATATTCAGGTTGCAGGTTATTTTCTCATCTTACTCCTGGAGAAAAAGGGTGTTGAAGAACTCAAACACAAAAGAAATCAGATCCGGTTTAGAAAGGCTCAGATAAGGAAGACTTTTAGGGTGGAGTCTAAATGTTGGCAGTTTTCACATAGCCCATATAGTATTACATCCATTAAACAGAGTTTTACTGCTGAAGAAACAGACTGACTATAAAGATAAGTGAGATATTCAGTGACGTATTTTGAAGCTCCTCCTTTTGACCCAGACCAAGAGTTTTGCATAATTTCAGAATAGTGTCCACAGTTTATTTCCTCTGAAATGTAAAATTTGAAAGTTAAGATGAGCATTTGTCTTGATTTGATTTTTGGGGTTTTGTTTTGTTTTGTTATTTTGAAGCAGGGTCTGCCCATGTAGCCCAGGCTGGCCTTGAAAATCTCAGTCCTGCCTTAGTATTACAGGTGTCAGCCATCGTAATCACTGAAATAAAATTTCTAGGCCAAAAAATTGAGTGGAAATGAGAGTAGATGGGAACATTTAGAAATTTCCCTTCCATTACTCATTGCCTAATCAAGTTTCTCTAAAAGGTTATTTTGTTACAACATTGTAAAATATTGAAGCAGATTAGTGAGGACTCTCATTCTGTGATGAGTGTTTCAATCAGATATGCTAACAAAACTGTTAAAATGTTTACTAACTGGTGTTGGGCACTTAAAAAGATTCTAAGGGCAAGCAACTCTGGGAAGCAACATATTAACACATTAAATTAATAATAAATATTGTGGATTTCCCAGAGAGGAGTAGGGTGCCTATTTTCCAAATTATTTTATCTTTTTTTTATTCTTGGTTCCATTTTTTTTCCCCTTGATTCCATTGTATCAGGGTTTTGTACTAGGCAGGCTCTCTGCTACTGAGCTAAATCTCCAGCCCTTTTTATTTTGCTAAGTTACCTAGGTTGGCCTGGAACTTCTGATTCTTCTGCTTCAGCCTACTGAGGAGCTTGAATTACGGGCTTAGTCTTGATTCCTGAAACACACTTTGTCATTTTTATTTGTATTACCTGTAGGGTTTTTTTTGTTGTTTTAGCATTTGGGTTTTGAACTCAGGTCCTTGAGCTTACCAGGTTAGGCACTCTACCACTTGAGTCTCACTTCCAGCCCCTGTATTACTTTTGATTTTGCTGAAGTGTCAGGCATCAGGTCACTTAAACTACCCCTAGCTTTTCATAGCTTTTTCTGGTTTTTAAATGTTAGTTACACACTTCTGATCTGATGGTGTATATAAACAGAATTTTATAAATGAGGATTTAATTCAAAAGCCTTAGGGGAGTGGCAAAAAGCTAGTGAAACCCCATCTCAACAAACAGATGGGGCATGGTGGTTCATATCTGTAATCCCAGCTACATGGGAGACATAGGTAGGAGAATCTCTGTTTGAGGCCAGCCTGGGCAAAAATGTGAGACTACCTAAAAAAAATAACTAAAGAAAATAGTGCTGTGGCTCAAGTATATGCTAGAGTACCTGTCTAGCACACTCAAGGCCCTGAGTGCAAACCCCAGTACCATCCCTCCCAAATTTAAAAGAAAAAACCAAAAATATCCTGAAATGAATCCTTAATATATATATTTTTGTAATTATACCAATAGCCTTGGAAATAATTGAAGGATGCTGACACTGGCTGCTAGGATGAGCCATAAAACCAGTACTATTAACATACCCTTAGAAATCATGCTGGATATAAAGTTGTGAGGGATAATTAATGGCATTTTCCCTCTATCATGTTACTTGGAAAGGGAGAAGTTAATAGATGCTAGTAGTGCAGGAGAGAGTGGGAAAGTGGTTTTGTAGCACAGCAGCTTGGGAGATTCTGCTCTTGGAAACTGACTGTTAGCAAGATTAAAGATTCTAGAAAGCTCTGAAAGTAAACTTGCTAACTTTGTTTAACCTAGTATTTCTTAAACCTTTCATTAGAAACCATTCTTCACTTACCTCATTTATGGATGTTGCTTCTTTTTAGTATCCTGCAAATAGTGTTCTTTTTCTGCCATTTGGAAATTTTTGACTATATATTTCAGGTACCTAGAAAGTATTAGAAGATATTATGAAGTGATGGCTTCATGTTTGGCACACTGCCCTTTGGAGAGATGAGTAAAACAAGGGAGTTGTCTTCAAGGAATTGCTGTCTGGTCAGAGGAAAGGAAACTAATGCTTATACAGTAGCTGTAGGTGGTGGCTCACCTCCCTGTTAATGCCGTATCATAGGCCACAAGCCGAAATTCAGAGACCCGACAGCTCTGGGTTTGGGTTATCTGTGCTAGACCAGGAATTTCCATGCCTGAATGGGGGCAGGATGCCAGCCTTGAGAAATGGTGACTGATAGCGACTAGGGTACAAAGAGAGTTTAATCATCTTTTTTCCCATCAGTGAGTGGAGGGAGAAGTGGGTTGAGAATGACTGTTGGGGTTGAAGGAAGAAATAGAAGTACCAGAAAAAGAGAGCAAAGGACAGTGGTTAGGGTGAAAGAGTTCCAAGGGAGTGGGTTGCTTGGACAGTATACAAAAGTAGAAAAAGGTCAGTCATGTTTTCTTTCCTAACCTATGGTTGGGCATGATGGTGCATTCTTATTACCCCAGCTACATGGGGAAGCACAAATAGGATTGTACTCCAGGCTAGTCTGGGCATAAAGTGAGACCCTATCTCAAAAAATAAACAATTCAAAAAGGACTGGGGGTGTGGCTCAAGTGGTAGAATGCTTACCTAGCAAGCTTGAGATCCTGAGTTCAAACTCCAGTACTGCCCCTCAAAAATGTGTGTGTGTGTTACAAGGAGAGGCTAGCTTTGGAGGGTAGTTCGTGGAATATGTCTCTCTTTTTGAGCTTCTAAGAAAGAATTAAGTGTTGAAGAAGGTGGCTTCAATTCTATAGTGCATATCTACCAGAAATGAGAAAGAAGCTGGGGAGAAAGAGATGGGATTTGAGAATTGTGTGTATTCCAGACTCTGAAATAATATATGGGAGACACTTGGAAGTTAGGTAAGCGAGGAATTCTCAGGATGGTCAGTACTTAGAAGGGCTTACGTGGAAGTAGACTGATACGGGTTGAAGAGTTCTGCATGGGTCTCTTTAGTTTAATGCAGGGATGGACTTGGGAATGACAGCACAGTGGACCCAAAGGGGCTGACCTGGCAGGATGATGAAGAACTGTAGTCTGATGTCAGTGATCAGAGAGAAATGGAAGAGATATGAGAGATGGACTCAGAAGGCTCAGAGTGGATGATTAGAATTAGCCAACGGCATGTGAGCACCAGAAGGTTAAATGTGCCAGGCAAATGTCCTAGAGCTCCTTCTAGTGGCCACATAGGGTTACAGCAAAGGAGAGGAGATTTGACCCAGCATTTTTCCCTGGTGCTGGGGGCTGAATTAGGGCCTCATGCATGCTAAGCATGTGCTTTACCACTGTGCTGTAAAAATGTTAAATTTAGAGAATGAACACTTGTTACTGTGAACACGTATCACTAAGAGGTGTCTAAGGTCCTGAAATACTGAAACTATCTAATGAAAAAATATGCCAAGCTGACCCAGCATTTTATAAATAGGAAAAAAGATGTAATACAATTAAAACACATCTATTACAATTTTTGTGTTCTTAGGATTGCAGAAAATGCTATCAATACATTTTAAAAAGGAATCTTACATGGAATGTAACTAATTATAATACTGAGTTTTTTTATGTAAAC